TCCAAATTTTAAAGGATTTTTCCATGAAATCAACCACTTACTGGTGCGTTTTACGTAGGGAATGGATGGGAATGGGGGCATGGGATCATTATTGATAGCCATTATGTTATTGTGGATCATTCCCTCATTCCCTAAGCAGAAGTAAGACGATGCTGGGGTACCCCTATTTCTTGGGAAACCTCCACATCCACCGTTTCCAGGTTCCAGGTCACCGAGTAGACTCCGCTGCTCACTGTGACGAGGCAGTCCAGGTTGAAGGCGCCATACACCTGGCGACCAGAGGTGAGCGGTTTCACGAAATGGGCTGCGGTTTCCTGGCCATGAAAAAGGGTGGTTGAATACAGGATGGAGCCCCCCAGTTATAACTTGGTTTTTAACTACAATAACAATAGCGTATGATACTTATACTTATATTTAGATGGGGTTATAAACAAATTTAGCAAACTACCTGTATTTTCTGACCATCAACAGTGGATGTTTGCCCACCGAAGAAAAGAGCTTTAAATAGCATGGGTGTGGGATGTCTGGGATATGTTTGGCCCAAAAATTGTTGTTTAACCAGCCCAAAATGAGAAAATGAGAGGTCGCTAACCAGCAAGCTGGTGGGTGAACTTCAAGAACATGGGTTGTACCTGTCACGGGGTTGTGAACCAATGAAGAGAGGGAGTTTTTGAGCACTGAGACTGACGAATTTTGGTCAAAAGACTGACTTGAACATATATTTCAACTACCCTCTGGTAAACTAACATAGCTATTGAAAATGACCATTTATAGTGGATTTTCCCATTAAAAATGGTGATTTTCCATAGTTATGTTAGTTTACCAGGGGGTACCGCAAGCCCCCAAGAAAATATATATTTCAGAGCTTCGAGGATCGAATTTGGGTGATATTTACTGAATGTAAAAACTGCATATCTCCAGATTTTCCGGCCACTTCTCGGCCAAAATTGGGAGCCTGAAGCCATGGGCAAGTTGACTGCTTGATGCTCACTGAATGTGGTGTAATTTGAAAACCTGCATCTGGCTATAGGGATTGGTTACCCTCTGCTTATTTAACATAGCCATGGAAAATCACAATTTTTAATAGGTAAACCATCTATAAATGGGCCATCTATACCATGGCTATGTTAAATAACCAGAGGGTATGTTAAATTTATCCTGCAAAATTTACTTTAAATTCAAAACGGTTTCCTCGTCTTAAATCTACTTTTCCCCTCTGATTAAATCTTCAGTCCTCGCCTCGTTACATTCAAAACGGATTTCAGCCCTCGTCCCATTTCTTTCTCGACCGCAAGCCATTCGAACTAGTCCTCTGCCTCCTTTTGGGTTGAACTTTGATGAATTATCTTTGTCGTCGTTGCAGCAATGCTCTGGGCTCCAGAGGCTTGGGGATGCTGAAAAAACTTTTCAGGGCCTAAAAAGTTTTTTCCTGTTTCCGAGATGCCTCTTTTACAAGCGGATTTGCAGGGGCTCAGTTCCCCCCAAATTCGACCCCAGAGAAGAGAAGCTGCAGCAGCAGCACCAAGATACCCCGCTACACCTCAAGTTTTAGCAATTTTAGAATCTAGTCGCGCTACCTGGGAAAGGTGAATAAGAACTATTGACCAAAATTTCAGGGTTCCCTAGGGTTCTTATTTCCATTAGCTGGTAGACAGAGTTGAATCCAGCAATCCAGCCCCTGAGGTTCTTAATGCAGTGGGTTCTTAAACAGTGGTTTCACTGTAGAACAATACGGAAGTCCTGGAACAACTGGGCATGCCACCACAGGGCACTGACTGAAATTACGATAAAAAAAACTTTTCGGGCTCCAGAAAGTTTTTTTTTCACGGGGTCTGAATGCACCCTTAATTTTCTATGTTTTTCACTCTGATGGGAACAAAAAAACTTTCTGGAGCCCGAAAAGTTTTTTTTCACTCGTTACACATGCTTTGAAAGCAATTTCTGCCCACCTCGTTTTCTGAATTTAATTAATTCACCTCGCTTAAATTGCAAAGATTCACCTCGTACCTCGTCAGCCCTCGCTCTAAATTACGCAGAATTTATCTATCATGTGGTTGGGAAACTCTTGGTGGATCCTTCTACTGAGACTGGTTTCCCATTGAAAAACATGCTCCCGCTGCTCCCTCACGACCAAATAGTACTGGCCACCCCAAAACTTGGTGTTTACTCAGGGGACAGCATACATAGCTGGTTGGTGGTTGAACCCTACTCCTTTGAAAAATGATGGAGTGAGTTCGTCAGTTGGGATGATGAAATTCCCAATAATTATGGAAAATAAATTTCATGTTCCAAACCACCAACCAGATAGATATGACTCATCACAAGTCGGCATTCCGAGCGGAAAACACAACTTGGCCGATGCATGGACGGTGCTCCCATGTCCGGGTGTGTTCAACTGCATGAAGGTAAGATTACATAAATCCACAAATAGATCAATTTTCCAGGAGTTCACAAATGGTACCCTCATCCCATTCAAACCTCGATTTAGAAAGGGGATTTCCGGAGAGTATTCATCTCGTACTGTCATCATATGTTCAAACTTTTCCGTCAGCCTTAGGGGTTTCTAGGGGGTGCAGCAAATGAATCACCCCAAAACCTCTCGTTACAGTTTTGCCCAATTTCACTGGCCAAATGTCCTTGTCTTTTCACAATTTTTCACGCTTTCAAAATGGTTAAGCTTCTAATACACCCGAAGGTCGAGACCAGTAGCAACTCTCCCAGCAGCTCTGCATTGCCAGAGCACAGGGATCTGAGGGTTTGTCGGCAAGCAGACTTTCACCGGATTGTCCAATGCTGTGGATGGACTGAAGATGATACCTGGAGGCAGCTTCGCTCGAGGACATGGAGGACTTGGAGGACTTGGGACACGGGAAGCGGAATGGAAAACACTGGGCTGCGAGATATGAGTTATAAGTTAGTTATAACATGAATATGACCCATATTTTTTACTTTAGGCGATATCACTCATGTTTGCGGGTGTGAATTACTGTTGTCTGGCAGACAAAATACTGCCAATCGGGCAAATCACAATGACCCCCAAATCAGAAACACACCCCCAAAAACAAAACAGAATGGACATGATCATTAATAATATTCTCTGTTCTGAGCTGTATATGTGTCTGATTTGGTTTAAATATAGCCAACATTTTTTCTGATGCAATAGTCAGCAAGACCCAATCATATCACGTTCACGTTATTCCGGTATAGGATAGTCCAAAAAAAACTAGTTCGTCATCATTGTCCAATGCTTAAAGTTGCCATTACTTGGAGCGACAGAAAAATCATTATTATCACTATGGTGGTTCATCCCGCTTAGTACGTGGGTTAAAACCCCAGTGATAAATGAGATAAGTTGGGTTAATCCACTCAAAAAACTGGGGTTATAACCCACTTATGAGCCGTGGGATGAGCCACCAAGTATATTCACATTATATAACTTAGAAAATTCTTACCATTCCCGATTACATGGTTGGCAAATCGATTTTTATTTAGTCAACGCCCATGTCGGCTTCCCTGTTTACACCATCGGCCGTTGAAGGGTTTCCATAAATATGGGGGATCCTGAAAAGGAATGGTAAATGGAACATCCGAAAATGGATGAGAACTGGGGTTACCCCTATCTCCAGAAAAACCCATGCAGATACTGGAGATGGGCATACGTAATCCTTAACTATGTTAACATCGTGGTATATCATGGGGATAAATGAATATCATGGGATATGAGGCAAGTAACCAACTTTGAGACAACTAAGTTTGTTTGCTAAGTTGGTTGAAATAACTCTAGATATTCTGTTGGCTTTATAATGGTTATCGGTAATAACATAAATGTTATCTGTCAGAGAGGAGGGTGCGCTGTGTGCTCAATTGGGATCATCGGGCATCATTCCTTAAACAGGAACAAAAGAAACTCCTTGACATTGCCAATCTGCCAGATACCCTGCAAAAAATGACAAATTCTTTGCTGGTGAACGTAGATATTCCCATTGATACCAAAAGACTAAAGGATTAGTTTGTAATGTCAACCCTGGATTAATAAACCCTTAGGCTGTTTAATTGGGGGGGTACCATTTAAGTATTAGATTATGACTATTGGAGGAGTACCCCCCTAATTAATAAACCATGGTTTATTAATCCGGGGTTGACATTAGTTTGTATCCATCCAAGATTAACCCAATTGAAACCAACATACCCAATTGAGGATGGTCTATACAACATACCCAATTCAAACTAAATCATTGAGGATGATTTAAGCATCAAACCCGCAAGCACAAAAGCCCATGATGTTCCTGTTGGATTCCAATTCAGCTATTGATTTATTGAGCCTTGGCATCGAAAAATCCAGATAAATCCATGTAAAATCTCACATTCATATGGCCATATATGGCCACAGCAACACCCAAAAGATCGACAAAAACCCAACAGATCCGTACCTTCAAATCGTGGTGAAATGACCGATCTGTTTCTGGTTGGTGGTTTCAACCTACCCCTCTGAAAAATGATGGAGTCAATGGGAAGGATTATCTCTTTTTTATGGAAAAAACATGTTTGAATAGAAAAAAAAACGTTTTTCTTTTTTTTTCTGGGGGGTTCCTATATCTAAACAAGCACCACATAGCTTCCAAGTGGCAATCGCCAACGAGTTGTCCAATGTAGCGCCCAGCATTCCTGAGACGTTCGAGACGGGAGCATCGGAGAATCCCATCCTGGAATCATTCGAGACAATGCCATGAGAAAAACCATGGACACCCGGCCTGGTAAACATACAAAAAGCTATTGAAAATGGTGATTTATAGTGGATTTACCCATTGAACATGGTGATTTAGTTCGTGGATTTACCCATTGAACATGGTGATTTAGTTCGTGGATTTACCCATTGAACATATTGAACATGGTGATGTTCCATAGATTTTTGATGTTTTTTGTATGTTTACCAGAGGGGTACAGATGATTTTTCCACAAACACCTCATTGATAGTATTTTCGATTGCCATGTTTGATTCGCCGACGGTGTTCGCAATCACACATCTTTAAGTACCTCCTTAACGCTGCTTCTGAACACTTCGTGGCGAAAGAGCAAACACATCAGGGCCAAAGGCAGTTATACCATATCCCCTTGATAACATCCCATTTTGGGGTGGTTTTGACCATCACTTTCAAGTATCTGTTGGAGATTATATCCCCATTTGTTAGGTGATGTTCAATTAGGACATTCACCAATTATTAAGGATTATTATCATAACCAATAGTATATATCCAATAGAAACCATACGGATCACAGGTTGTCTGGGATATTACTAAGATGACTACTATAGATGACTTTTGTTTAGTTCACCAAGTCGTTTGGAAGGAATTACCTATTACTACTGTAGATGTCTCTAGATGATTATAGATGACTATAGATGACTTCCAAACATTACTAATATGGCCTTTTTGTTTGGAAGTCCACCAAGATCCAACAAGATTCACGAAGAACCTCTTCACAGCTGAGTGGCACCACCACAGTGTAGCAGGAGGCTGTCAAGGTGTCTGACAAACCAGTGCCAGCAAGCCTGGCGACAGCGGGGCTGCAGTTCCACGAAAAGTTGAGATGTACAATTTTTAGGCACCCGTTTACGATAGCTACCCTCTGGTTATGATATGACTAACATAGCTATTGAAAATGGCCCATAGAAATAGGTGATTTAGCTATTAAAGATGGTTATTTTCCATAGTTATGTTAGTTTACCAGAGGGTAAGTTGGTGTATAACTTGGTTAACTATGGTTTATAAACTATATGGGGGGTTCCATCAATGGGGGATCTCCAAAATGAATGGTTTAAAATGGGAAATCCATCTATAAATGGATGATTTAGGGGTACCCCCATTTCAGGAAACCTCCATATATCACCACAAGTATGGATGAGGGCTATTCCTCCGGGTGACAACAATTAATAGCCTCCACTGCACCCCCAAGTACAAGTATGATCAAATTAAATGCGGAATGTATGTACCTAGATTCTCCAAGTACCTAAACAAATGGGTTGGTATACCCACTATTTTCTGACTTTTACCAATTTGAAATGAATACTCGCAGGGTCTAAGAATATTATAAATTACTTTACTTCGTGTGATCCCCACCATGACATTTATACATTTTGTTACTGGCAAATCTTCTGGCATTCTATCTGACATATTTTCTGGCATTCGATCTGGCATATCTTCTGGCATTCTACCTGGCATATCTTCTGGCAGATGTTCTGGCATATCTTCTGGCAGATGTTCTGGCATATCTTCTGGCATATTTTCTGGCATATGTTCTGGCATATCTTCTGGCATTCCATCTGGCATTCTATCTGGCATATCTTCTGGCATATTATCTGGCAAATCTTCTGGCATTCCATCTGGCATTCTATCTAGCATATCTTCTGGCATATTATCTGGCAAATCTGCTGGCATTCTATCTGGCAAACATTCTGGCACTTTATCTGGCATATCTTCTGGCATTCTAGCTGACATTCTATCTGGCATTCTATCTGGCATACCTTCTGGCATTCTATCTGGCATATCTTCTAACATTCTATCTGGCATATCTTCTGGCACTCTATGTGGCATATCTTTTGGCGTGGATACTCGCGGTTGAGGTCCGGCAGGGAACACTGGGCGTGGATGGTCGTGGTTGAGGTCCGGCAGGGAACACTGGCGGGGATACTCGCGGTTGAGGTCCGGCAGGGAACACTGGGCGTGGATGGTCGTGGTTGAGGTCCGGCAGGGAACACTGGGCGTGGATGGTCGTGGTTGAGGTCCGGCAGGGAACACTGGGCGTGGATGGTCGTGGTTGAGGTCCGGCAGGGAACACTGGGCGTGGATGGTCGTGGTTGAGGTCCGACAGAGAACACTGTGGATCGCGAGTCGCAGTTGAGCAGGAGGACGAGGAGGACAACGAGAGGAGGAGGACAACGAGAGGAGGAGGAGAGGAGAGGAGGAGGAGGAGGACCAGGCAACTGACATAAAATCTAACAACCCTCACCTGGCAGGTGGGGAAAAACAAACATATATACTATAGGCAAATGGAAAGTCATTCCAATTTACCCACATGAAATGGACCACTTTGATGATTCCTGCTAACCAATATATTCTGTATCTATATATACAGGAGGCCAGTGAGGATGTTTGACGAATAGATGCTCGTGGGTCAACAGGTCAACATCGCGATCATTTACCACTTACAACTGGACCAGAAAATGGTCCTCTGAACAATATGAAAGTCAGTTGGGAATATTCTTCCCAATATATGGAAAAATAAAATTCATGTTCCAAACCACCAACCAGACGATGTATAGCCATTTACAATACCATCACTTGTAAGACGGATATCTCATTAGTTGCACCCCGTTGACTCACCATAGATCTCCGTAGATCCTCACTTCCGAAAATTTGCCACTGCGACAGAAGCGGCTACGTCAGGTCCAGCACACTTCATTTTGAAAGGGTCTGATTTGAAACTTGTCCCATTTATAAGTGGGGTTAAAAGTTATAAGCCACTTACTACCCTTCTGGTGGGTGGTTGAGCCACCTACCCCTCTGAAAAATGATGGAGTCAGTTGGGAAGATTTTACATTCCCAATATCATTGCCAATCTGCCAGATACCCTGCAACAAATAAAAAAATCTTTGCTGGTGAAGGTAGATATCCCCATTGATACCAAAAGACTAGTCAGGATTAGTTTGTATCCATCTAAGATTAACCCAGATATATGGAGAGTGATGAAAAAATCCATGGTTCCAAAGCACCACCAAGCAGGAAAGGTTCGAAATCTTGGGAAACAAATGGGATTTCTCTGAGAAATAGCTGCTGGGCTGCTCCCAACTGATACCAGCAATGGGAGTTGTGTAGATAATCATTAATAATCATTAAAACCATTCAAATTAAATTAAGTAGCCATATGATTATTATTACTGTAACCCCTATTTTTAATTGTTAACCATTATTAGGAACAACATTTCCCATTATAACATATTATAACCTGAATATGGTGATAGCATCAGTGACCTGCAAAAAAAATGGAACCAATATCTGGTTGGTGGTCTCAACCGCCCTGAAGCAACAACCAGCCGAGCATTGCTGAAGTTCAATGAAGTTAAAATGCTTTGAGCATTGGTCAAAACTCTGGCCCTTCATCGGATTTCCCAGTTGGATTCTGATCATCCCAAAGTTCATCATATTGGATAGTTTTTAATCACCCGAAAAAGGTGACAGAACAATCATTACAGTATTTATCACGGATATATATATATATATATATGTTTGTTGTGTTTATAGTGGGGCATGTTGTTCCTAATACTGGTTAATAATGGTTAATCATGGTTAATAATTTAACAACACTATTATTAGCCATTATGAATGATATTATCAATACTATTAGCCATTAATAATACTGTGTCCCTTCAAAATAATGGTTAATAATGGTTAATAATGGTTAATAATGGTTAATAATATATGTATATATATATATATCTAATGGTAAAACCCCTGGTCAAAGGATGGTCAACTCAGCATGAAAATTCCCAGTGTCGATTCCTCACCTTCGTTTCCTTCGCATTCGCCGGTTGCCGCCGGTGGTATTGGTGCTGTTCCCCTGGGTCCATGATGTCCATGAGTCACTGGGATGAGTAAAAAAAAGCACCAAAAAAGCCATAGAAATAGTGGATTTACCCATGAAAAATGGTGGATCTTTCCATGGTTTTTTGTATATTTACCAGAGGGTATCCCAAAAAACTGGTGATACATTGGTGGTTTAATGCTGATTTAATGGGTTTTAATGAGATTTGATGGTGATGAATGGTGATGTACCCTCTGGTAAACTAACAAAAAGCTGTTGAAGCCATGGCCCATTAAAAATGGTGGATCTTTCCAGCTCGTTTTTTGGGACTGTTTACCAGAGGGTACGTCCCATGGATCTTGGGGATTTCCCACTTCAACTGGTGAAGCCGCAGTGAGAAGCACATGATTTCTTGTCACGCCGAATTTGGGAGTATGTTAAATTTACCAGCCAATGGCTTGAAAACTGCTGGAACTGTGATAGGTTATCATTGGTCAACTTACCATCACCCAAACGGGGTGAAACACTGCCACGTTAGCCGCAAATCAGGTCTTGGACTGACAATGACCTATTACAAAAACAAGTGGAACATGTCTTGACAAGACAGATTAACCGTCAACAATCCGATTTTTTTTGCTTCAGGAGAAAGATATTGATTGAAATAGCTAGCATTTATTGATCATGATGGATCTATCACCAAAATGCATCGAGAGTAACCAAAAAAGATGGTTCCCCTTAGCGGTCCGGAGGATTCCAAGGGGATCTGTCTGCTGCCTTTGCTTTGGCCGAAGCTGCGACATCAAAGCGCAAAGCCTTGCTGTCTCCTTCCAGTAGATCATGAGAACAGGTGCCACAAGGGACATGCGATCCCTAGGCCTGTATGCAGCCACAGGGGCTGGGTTTTGGCTGAAGACGTAATCAACCTGTGCCTTTCTGGCGTGTCATTTCTGCCAGCTGATCCTGTCGCCGGTCCAGTTCGTAGCCCAGCTCTGTGCTGCCCGTCAACATCTCTGCGACACGCTTGACATGGTATCCAGCTTCAGAGACAGGGATATGGTGCGGTTGTGTGGCATATCATTGCCACACAACCGCACCATATCCTTATGTATAGGTCGCTATGTGGTGCCCCTTACTTGGGAAAGTTAGTTCACACGCAGATTTTGCCAATGGTGAAAATGGTAGATATAGCTAGATGGGTTTACAAAGCCTGTTTAAACTGGGGGGGCGCCACCTTGTCTGAAACATTTAAAAAGAAGAATATGGAGATATAGTCAGGGACAAGAGGGATATGTCACACAAATAATTGGTTTGGTTCCCAACAAAAATCATGTTAAGCCCGCGTCATATCAATGTCCAGGATAGCGAGAGATGCCGAACTGGTCAAAATTTGACTCCCAGTGTGTTTGGGACCCCTTAACTCAGTATATACCATCTGGTTTTTTAACAGTTCGCCATGGAACGGTCCACCATTTTTAATAGGTAAACCATCTATAAATGGGCCATTTCCCATGGGGATGTTGGTCACAACCAGAGGGTATGACCAGAAGGAACAAGCAGTTAGAGCCACAAGCGTTGAACCCTTGGTGGCGGGTACATACATACGCCAATCTTGGTCAACTTTAGATCCAGGAAAGTCAAACATCTTTTGTGCTGGATAATTCCACATATGTTTGATGCTTAAACCCTACACAAACATATGCGATACAATGGTAGATCATAACAAACATATGGGTATAATATTGTATAATGGTTGGTGGTATACCGACCTACCCCTCTGCAAAAATGATGGAGTGAAAGTAAGTTGTGATGATGACATTCCCAACTGAATGGAAAGTCATAAAATTCCATGGTTCCAGTCACCACCAAGCGGTTCTCAGATCATTTAACGATCCACTTTCCAGATGATTTGCCCACTACTTGGGCGACTTGAAAAAGATCCATCACCGTCAAAAAATAGGTGAGAGTCCACCAAACATTTTTTGTGTTTTTATGTGAGTTTCAGCTATGTAAAACTTACGACATGTTATGGCAGCTGAAAATCACATAGCTATAAAATACATAGATGAAAAAACCATAACTATAAAACATAGCTATAAAACTTTACCATTTGAAATCATGTCTGCATGAAATGTTTCGATCAAACACTTGGCCCGTCGAAGAATTGGGATACCCCAAACTCACGTGTGGTTGATCTGAAAGATCTGTACCAAAGAAAATTGCTGTTTTGGAGGCACGTACCACATGTTCAAACAAACCCAGATAAGGGTTTCCCCATAATGGAAAACTAGTTAGATGATTTTCAAGTGAGAGATGGGTCAAAACCACTGTTTTTTCCAATATATTTTCCATGAAAACTATGTGTTTTTCATTCACTTTGCGCATGAAGACTGGGCTTCGTATTAAACATCAAGATTCCATCTACTGCATGTCATGAAATGTTATGATGCATATAAAATTTGTTCATTTGCATCCTGGTTGGTGGTTTGAGCCCCTCTGAAAAATATGAAAGTCAGTTGGGATGATTATTCCCAATATATGGAAAAATAAAAAGTGTTCCAAACCACCAACCAGATTTCTTCATTTGCATCCATCTCTAATTCATGTTTCCAATATTGAGTGTTTTCCATATGTAAGCCTTCGAGATCTTGTTCCGATCAAACAACTTGGCGCGACTGCGAGACTATGAATGCTTTGGCTCAATTAGTCGGCTCTCTGATTCCAGTTTTTTTACTTTAAAGTTGTAATCAATGGGAATTCCAAGATCCTAAAATGGAGGTACTGTACCATATAAGGCCATATTTTCTGGGGATACTCCCTGAAATTTAGGCCTGAAAAATAGGCCCAACATATATGGAATCGGTACCTCCAATCCATCGGTTCCTGAAATGGCCAGGGATGTAAGGATTCAATCTTTGAGGTTCCCGGTTTGGGACATCTTTCAGCGTTGGATCTACAGCAACTGCACCTGTGAAAACCACCACCCGGCTACGCGAATTTACGGCCGCCGGACATCGGAACATGCATCATCACGCATGTTTTGGTACAAAACATGAAGACTTCATAAGAGTTTTTTCTCAATGCTACGATACAAGATTTTGAATATACATCATCTTTGTCGATAGATTCATAAGATAAATATCTGCAACATAGCATCAAGTCGGTTTGCAATTGCAAGAGAAGTTTTTGCCAACCCACCCTTCCCCACAGCCCCACCCATTGCAAGGGCATTTTGCGACCAGGTCGTAGACACCGTAGATGGCAACTACTCACAATCATAATCAACAGGTGTTTAAAAGATGTCTTGGAAGTCATATCCCATATGTTTCATGGTCAGATCTGGAAAAAAAGACGTGTTGCCATGAAAATCATCCATGAGTCATCAGTTATATCCCCATATGTTTGATGCTTAAACCCTACACAAACATATGGATATAATGGTAGATTATAACAAACATATGGGTATATGTAATTAATGGTATAATTTGGTATACTGGTTGGTGGTATACCTACCCCTCTGAAAAATATGAGTCAATTGGGATCATTATTCCTAATATACGGAAAGTCATAGAATTCCATGGTTCCAAACCACCAGCCAGTATATCATTTACCCATAAGGTATATCCATTGCCAATCTTAGATACCCTGCAAAAAATGACAAATTCTTTGCTGCTGAACGTAGATATTCCCATTAATACCAAAAGACTAAAGGATTAGTTTGTATCCATGTAAGATTGACCTAGGTTATATCCATTTGTAAAATCCCAATGATGCCATGATGGCATCACTGTCCATGGCTAGAGCCGCTGCCCCGCTGTTGCCCAGTCACCTTCGCATTCTCTGCCACCACAGCACCGGAGCTAAGCAGGTTCACTTGGACATCGATCTCAGTCGTGCCTGGTGCCATGAAACATGCTGATTTTACTGCGGCAAAATGGTGATTTTACCTGGTGATAATGGGAATTTAACTCCGGAAAATGGTGAGTGAACTAGGGATGCTGGTGATTTAATTGGCTTTTTCTCGATACCAGTAGAATTCATGAGGATTTAATGTGGGAAAATGGAGATTTGTCCTATTCTTGGTTCAGCCCAGTTGGCAAGATGACCATAACTCTGGTTAGAACCGGACCAACCCGACCTACCCTACTTTTAATTGGGATTATAAGCCGCTTGCCAACTGGAGTGAACCACGAAGCTGAGGACAATTTTTGGATGTACGAAGCTGGGGACAATGGGCATAGAAACGGGAAATACTTGGATATAACAAATAAAAGGACCAGATAACCCCACAAGTCAACTTCTTCCAATAATGAGCAAAACATGTTGTTGCGGGGACGGGGAAGGAAGGAAAGACAAAGGAAGAGGTGGAGGAAAGATGGTGTGTGACAAAGTTGTCTGTGTGAAAGATGGTGTGTGACAAAGATGGTGTGGTGAAAGATGGTGTGTGACAAAGCTGTGTGTGAAAGATGGTGTGTCGAAGATGGTGTGTGACAAAGGTGTGTGTGAAAGATGGTGTGTAAAAAAAATAGTGTGTGACAAAGTGGTGTGTGAAAGATGGTGTGAGAAAATGTGAAAGATGGTGTGTGACAAAGCGGTGTGTGAAAGATAGTGTGTGACAAAGTGGTTTGTGCAAGATGGGGTGTGACAAAGTTGTGTGTGAAAGATGGTGTGGGACAAAGTGGTGTGAAAGATGGTGTGTCAAAGTTGGTGTGTCAAGGATGGTGTCTGAAAGATGGTGTGAGACAAATTTGTGTGAGAAAGATAGTGTGTCAAAGATGATGTGGAGGCTCTGCGTACTGCGCCTGCCACGCGAAAGGTAGCCGCGGCCCAGCGGCGGCCACGAGCGCCGCAGCTCGTCCAGGAGGCTCTGTGTCCTGCGCCTGCCACGCGAAAGGTAGCCGCGGCCCCAGCTCCTCCTGGAGGCTCTGTGTACTGCGCCTGCCACACGAAAGGCAGCCGCGGCCCAGCGGCGGCCACGCGCACCGCAGCTCGTCCAGGAGGCTCTGTGTACTGCGCCTGCCACACGAAAGGCAGCCGCGGCCCAGCGGCAGCTACGCGCGCCGCAGCTCCTCTTGGAGGCTCTGTGAACTGCGCCTGCCACACGAAAGGCAGCCGCAGCTCCTCCAGGAGTCTCTGTGTACTGCGCCGAAAGAAAGGCACTCAGAAAGCCACGCGCAGACAGAGTGAGTGAGTGAGTGAGTGAGTGGGTGGGTGAGTGAGTGGGTGGGTGCGTGAGTGAGTGAGTGAGTGAGTGAGTGAGTGATGAGTGATGAGTGAAGATGAAGAGGAGGCGGCGGAGGAGGCGGAGGAGGCTGCCCCGGCGGGATCCGAGCGAAAAACAAGAACCCCACACAGTGATGTGGGGAACAATCATCATTTGAAGATGTCCAAAGTGGATGATGTGTATCTCTAATACACACACACACATATATATATATACATATATATACACATATATATATATAGACTCAATGTATTGCAACTTAGTAGGGCAAATTGGGCAAATGATGAACCATAGGATTCTGGGCACCTTATGGACAAACACCCGTGAATCCAATGATGCAAATGATGCAAACGGAGAGAGACCGCAGAAACAAAACACCACAAGTCATGTCACCACGCTTACCTAAAACATCCCAAAGCATTCCTAACTTTCAACATAATAAATATACATATATATATATGGTTGGTGGTTAAAAAACCATCTTAAAAAATAGGAGTTCGTCAATGGGAATCTTAAAAAATATGAGTTCGTCAATGGGAAGGATGACATCCCATATATTATGAAAAAATAAAAAATGTTCCAAACCACCAACCAGTATGTATATATATATATATTATGGGGGTTGTTTTTTATTCCTTTAAGATTGTTTCCATTTAGGAGTTCTTGCGCCTCTCCCTTGCGCGCTCTTGCGCGGCCTGCGTTTCAGTCACTTTGAAGGTTTTGGAAAGTTTTTTTTTATGAGCATAGTTTCACAAAAATACAGGCATTAAAAAAATTGACCTGGAATCAGGTCGGCAAGAACAGAATGTGGAGTCTGAGATGGTGAGCGGGAAGGTCTTTGGAAGTGGTCCAATAAAGGACCCAAATCACACAATCTACACATTTCTCCCGCAATTCCACAGCAATGACGCTGTACCCGAAGAGGCATGCATAGAGTCTGAGATGGTGAGCAGTTAACGGCAATTTCAGGTTTCACAGGGCTTTGCCCTGTTTCCGGACAAGAGGCTGAGCTTAAAGACCCCTTCGAAATGGCCTGGCAATGAAACCAAAACATACAAAATCAACACATCTTTCCGGCAACTAAAAAGCAAAATAAAGCAATGATGCTGTAACCAAAGGAGCATAGAGTCTGAGATGGTGAGCCGGAAGGTGTTTCAGAGTGGTTTCAGACAGGTTTCAGACCCTTTTGGGGGCGCTCACGGGCTGTGCCCTTTTTCCGGAAAAGACGCTGAACTTAAACACGGCCGTTTTGGAAATCAAAAGTCCCAAGGTGAATAAGAGAGAACGTAAGCTTATTTTCCCTAAGGAAAGTGTCACAAAAAAGAGGTATCGACTGCCCTCTTCCAGTATTTGTTTGAGCACTTGATTTCCAAAACGGCCGTTTTGGAAATCAAAAGCCCCAAGGTGAATTAAGAGAACGTAAGCTTATTCCCTCTAAGGAAAGTGTGACAAAATAAGGCTGTCGACTGCTCTCTTCAAATATTGTTTGGGCCTGTCACTCGGCTATCTCAACTTCCAATATTTATTTGAGTACCTGCTTTCCAAAACAGTCGTTTTGGAAATCGAAAGCCCCAAGGTGAATAAGAGAGAACGTAAGCTTATTTTCCCTAAGGAAAGTGTCACAAAAAAGAGGTATCGACTGCCCTCTTCCAATATTTGTTTGAGCACTTGATTTCCAAAACGGCCGTTTTGGAAATCGAAAGCCCCAAGGTGAATTAAGAGAACGTAAGCTGTGATAAAATAAGGCTGTCGACTGCTCTCTTCAAATATTTGTTTGAATACTGGAATCCCAAAACGGCCACTTTGGGCAATGTGTCTGAGACGGTGAGTAGGAAGGTGCTTCAGACCAGTTTCAGACCTCTTTTGGCTATCTCAGCTTCCAATATTTATTTGAGTACTTGCTTTCCAAAACGGCCGTTTTGGAAATCAAAAGCTCCAAGGCTCCAAGGTGAATTAAGAGAACGTAAGCTTATTCCACCTAAGGAAAGTGTCACAAAAAAGAGGTATCGACTGCCCTCTTCCAATATTTGTTTGAGCACTTGATTTCCAAAACAGCCGTTTTGGAAATCAAAAGCCCCAAGGTGAATTAGGAGAACGTAAGCTTATTCCCTGTAAGGAAAGTGTGACAAAATAAGGCTGTCGACTGCTCTCTTCAAATATTGTTTGGGCCTGTCACTCGGCTATCTCAACTTCCAATATTTATTTGAGTACTTGCTTTCCAAAACAATCGTTTTGGAAATCAAAAGCCCCAAGGTGAATTAAGAGAACGTAAGCTTATTCCCTGTAAGGAAAGTGTGACAAAATAAGGCTGTCGACTGCTCTCTTCAAATATTGTTTGGGCCTGTCACTCGGCTATCTCAACTTCCAATATTTATTTGAGTACTTGCTTTCCAAAACAGTCGTTTTGGAAATCGAAAGCCCCAAGGTGAATTAAGAGAACGTAAGCTGTGATAAAATAAGGCTGTCGACTGCTCTCTTCAAATATTTGTTTGAATACTGGAGTCCCAAAACGGCCACTTTGGGCAATGTGTCTGAGACGGTGAGTAGGAAGGTGCTTCAGACCAGTTTCAGACCTCTTTTGGCTATCTCAGCTTCCAATATTTATTTGAGTACTTGCTTTCCAAAACGGCCGTTTTGGAAATCAAAAGCTCCAAGGCTCTAAGGTGAATAAGAGAGAACGTAAGCTTATTTTCCCTAAGGAAAGTGTCACAAAAAAGAGGTATCGACTGCCCTCTTCCAATATTTGTTTGAGCACTTGATTTCCAAAACGGCCGTTTTGGAAATCAAAAGCCCCAAGGTGAATTAAGAGAACGTAAGCTTATTCCCTCTAAGGAAAGTGTGACAAAATAAGGCTGTCGACTGCTCTCTTCAAATATTGTTTGGGCCTATCACTCGGCTATCTCAACTTCCAATATTTATTTGAGTACTTGCTTTCCAAAACAGTCGTTTTGGAAATCGAAAGCCCCAAGGTGAATAAGAGAGAACGTAAGCTTATTTTCCCTAAGGAAAGTGTCACAAAAAAGAGGTATCGACTGCCCTCTGCCAATATTTGTTTGAGGACTTGATTTCCAAAACGGCCGTTTTGGAAATCAAAGCCCCAAGGTGAATTAAGAGAACGTAAGCTTATTCCCTGTAAGGAAAGTGTGACAAAAAAAGGCTGTCGACTGCCCTCTTCAAATATTTGTTTGAATACTGGAGTCCCAAAACGACCACTTTGGTCAATGTGTCTGAGATGGTGAGTAGGAAGGTGTGTCAGACCGGTTTCAGACCTCTTTTGGGCCTGTCAGTAGGCTATAAGCTTCCAATATTTATTTGAGTACTTGTTTTCCAAAACGGCCGTTTTGGAAATCAAAAGCTCCAAGGCTCCAAGGTGAATTAAGAGAACGTAAGCTTATTCCCCCTAAGGAAAGTGTGATAAAATAAGGGCGTCGGCTGCAAAACCTCCCACATATACACATACGCGCAGACATGGGCAATGTGTCTGAGATGGTGTGTAGGAAGATACCCCCTGTTTCTGGAAACCGCAGGAGGAGAGGCATTTAGATTTTGTTCTGTCCTCGTGCCCAACCAATTCCAGGCCTACATAAACATACACGCAATATATTTCAAGATATAATATGTAGGAAAACAAGAACGCAATTTGCATGTATATATAATATCCTTGCGCTCTCCCTTGCGCGCTCTTGCGCGGCCTGCGTTTCGAGCCATATGGCTGCCAAATTACAAAATCCTAAAATCAATTTTCCTTTGACGAATACTACGGGGTTAAAAAACTCATATATATATATATATACACGTATAATGTTCATACTTGAGAGTACGTGAACTCTCATCGATATGGCAGAAAGGGAACTTCACCAGATTCGTCACAAGCCAAAAACGATATTGTGGATGAAAAACACCAAGTGTGGGGATGTTGATAGTCAAAAGTGAGGGTTGAGACCGCTAAGAGTATAGGAACGGTGACAACCCCCAATGTGGTGCTGTTCTATGCAAGAAGTTACAACAACCATCCAACCCATTTTTCAAGGTTCCATGTTGGCTTTCAAGGGGATTATCACATCCAGCTGAGCATTATACCCCGAACTCTTCATCATCACCTGAAAAGGATTTTTTTAAAGCTCCCATATTTCTAATGCTAAAAGCCTGGTTCATGATGATTCAATTCTCATTAAAGATCATCAACCAACATCAATCAACCATGGGTTAAATCCTCAAATGTTTGATGGTTAAAACCTAAAAATGATGCCACTAATATAATCATCAACCAACAAGGATTTTGATTGCCGCTCAATTGTGGAGCTGGCTACCTGCTACCTGCTGCACGTTTGTGTAGCATGATATAGAAAGCCACCATGAACATGAAGCCTTCACCAAAGTGTACCCCTGGGTAATCAAAGGTGGAAATGAACAACAACAACAACAACAACAACAACGACAACGACAACAACAACAACAGCAACAACAACAACAACAGCAACAGCAACAACATGCCGTTTCAAGACGATTCGTTTGTAAAGTGTGGACATCAATTTTCTCTTTTTTTTAAAAAAATAAACTATCCCCCCATATCGCCGAGCCACCTGTGACACTGTTGTCAGAAGGTTCGATGACATAATCACCTGAGCTCTCAAAGCTCTGCTGATGTGGTTGGCTTAAGGCAGGAACTGTGTGCTGTGGTGATCCCCTGTAACAAGTTTTACTTTTAGTGGATTATGGTGGATTGTGTGTTATATGGAACATTTTGTGTCAACGCCACAATACATTAAAACTCAAGAAATCTAGCTATAATCCGTAATCCATCTGGTGGAAATAAACATCACTTACAAACATCATTTATGGGCGGATTCCCTTCCACGCATCATTTACGGGGAACTTTTTTGGGAGCACATCGTGAGGTCGATTGGTGGTGTCAACGCCCTCAAAGATCTATAGATAGTGTGAGATTAAAGGCATGAAAGCAGCACGTAAGATTGATGATCCAGGTTCTGGCAAAACAAAATTCTTCAATCCAGAAGCACATGTTACATCATATTACCAGATCAGACTTCATGTTATTACCCTCTGGTAAACTAACATAGCTATGGAAAATGGTCCATTTATAGATGGTTTACCTGTTTACCTATTAAAAATTGTGATTTTCTATGATTTTCTAAAGCTATGTTAAATTACCAGAGGGTAAATGATCTTTCCAATACATGAGCAACCTGGTAGTCCAGTCACCAGGGTAGCCTGCACCTATCAAGTTGTGATGGATCAACGGCTCAAAAAAATCTTGGCTTTGCTGAACTCAAACAAAATACAACAGTGTTCCCATTCTTTGATTGGGATTTCCCATTGGGAAAATAAACGCTCGTAGTATTTCCCATTCGTAGTGGAGAAAAAATCCCACATGTAACGGTGGATTTCTGGGAAACATACGAATCATCTTAGGGCCATTCTTTGATGGAGCTCAATAGCTTGCTGCTAAATGATATATCAATTTCATCTGAGAATCTAGCACCAAAAAAACAGTTGAGCCATTATTAACATACCCTTATCCCATCTCATTATACTAGTTGGTTGATAGGTTTCCCAACTAACACGGTTATCATACTCCCCAGTAAACCAGGTAGTATAACCCCCTATAGCAATCAATTGACCACAGGATGGGGCCCCCCAATTATAAGTTGGTTTATAAACCATGACAATCCCCATTAACTATAGTTATATCTACCATAAACCATTGTTAAGCCACTTATAAACCAACTTAGCTATCTTGGGGGCCCCATCCTGCAGGATATTTTTAATGGCTCAGTTAAGCTATGTTAAGCTCAAAGAATCCGAAGCTGTGGCCAGCTTTTTGGCGGTCTCCACCCTAGAGGTGCTTAACCATGCGCCCGAAATGCTTAACCATACGCTTGGTCGGGCCCCTATGGTTAGTGAATTAACTTAGTTAATTATGAATAAGGTTAATTTACTATAAATTTTGGTGCTTAGAAATTTTGCAAACTTTCTTTAGAACTAGCTTAAGTATGACTATGGTTTATCCTCGAAAAAAAAACAGATATCTGCTGGGGTTTGTTTATGCCAACTAACCAGGGACCCCACCATTGTAGTTCCTTCACCCATGGGGGTAACCCACTCTGGTTGACCCCGAATAATCCTTTGGTTCGTCAATGACTTCCCCCGAGCTCATCCTCCTCCCATAAAAATTGATAAAATGTCTGCCATTTGCGGGGATATACCACATTTTCAGACAAACCCAAATATCCTATTCTATCCTATTGCTGCTCTTATATATATATATATCCCATGATATCCCCAGTAAATAGACATGAACTAACCATGAAATACATGGTTATTTCCTGATCTTTGGCCACAAAAAATCATGGCTTTCTTCCTTTTTTTCGCCAAGCAACCCACTTGTGTGGCCGATGCCGTGGCTGGCAACAGTGGCACCGTCCCCAAGGTACTCTGTGCAGCGGTCTGTTTGGCGATCGCGACCTTGGGAGAATCCCAAAGGTTGATGGGAAGTATTTTCTAATGGGGGTTTAGTGGGTTTACTATGGTTTAATCGAAGGAAGTTTAGAAGTCAAACTTCCGACAATATGGACAGATGAAAAGCAGAGCAGGGCAGAGGCAGAGAGAAGAGAAAGATTAGAAGAAAGAAGAGTAGAAGAGAAAGAGTAAGAAGAAAGAAGATGCAGATGCGAGCAAAGGTAGGAAAGTCGCGAAACACTGTGTTTTTCCATCGCTAAAGCGGCGGGTACGGAGCCAGCTGACCAGATGAGAGATGAAAAATTGCACGCCGTTGTGGCGCGAAGCACATTTCGAAGTCAAAATGTACAAAACACTAGGGGTGCGGACCACTTTTGGAAGTTGAGATGTCGAAAAAGTGCACGCCGTTGTGGCGCGAAGCACATTTCGAAGTCAAAATGTACAAAACACACCAGCGTCGGACCACTTTTGGAAGTTGAGATGTCGAAAAAGTGCACGCCGTTGTGGCGCGAAGCACATTTCCAAGTCAAAATGTACAAAACACTAGGGTCGGACCACTTTTGGAAGTTGAGATGTCGAAAAAGTGCACGCCGTTGTGGCGCGAAGCACATTTCGAAGTCAAAATGTACAAAACAAGTGCGGACACTTTTGGAAGTTGCGATGTCGAAAAAGTGCACGCCGTTGTGGCGCGAAGCACATTTCGAAGTCAAAATGTACAAAACACTAGGGGTGCGGACCACTTTTGGAAGTTGAGATGTCGAAAAAGTGCACGCCGTTGTGGCGCGAAGCACATTTCGAAGTGAACATGTACAAAACACAGGGGTCCGGACCACTTTTGGCAGTTGAGATGTCGAAAAAGTGCACGCCGTTGTGGCGCGAAGCACATTTCGAAGTCAAAATGTACAAAGTACTAGGGGTGCGGACCACTTTTGGCAGTTGAGATGTCGAAAAAGTGCACGCCGTTGTGGCGCGAAAACACATTTCCAAGTCAAAATGTACAAAGCACTAGGGGTGCGGATCACTTTTGGCAGTTGAGATGTCGAAAAAGTTCACGCGCGAAAACACATTTCCAAGTCAAAATGTACAAAACACCAGGGGTGCGGACCACTTTTGGCAGTTGAGATGTCGAAAAAGTGCACGCCGTTGTGACGCGAAGCACATTTCGAAGTCAAAATGTACAAAACAGACCATGTTCGGACCACTTTTGGAAGTTGCGATGTCGAAAAAGTGCACGCCGTTGTGGCGCGAAGCACATTTCGAAGTCAAAATGTACAAAGCACCAGGGTTTGAGACCACTTTTGGAGGTTCAGATGTCGCTTCGCTTCGCTTCATTACACTACATTACACTACGCTACACTCCACTACACTACACTACACTCCACTACACTACATTACACAACACTACAACTACAGCTACACAACTACATTCCACTAAACTCCACCAAACTAAATTACATTACACTACACCACACTACACTACACTCCACTACACTACATTACACTACACTACATTACAATACACTACATTACCTTCCACTACACTTCACTACATTACACTACACTCCACTACAACTACAACTACATAACTACACTCCACTACACTCCACTACACTAAATTAGACTACACTACACTACACTACACTCCACTACACTACACTCCACTACACTACATCACACTACACTACACTACCTTCCACTACACTTCACTACATTACACTACACTACACTCCACTACACTACCACTACCACTACAACTACGACTACACAACTACACTCCACTACACTAAATTACACTACACTACAATACATTACACTACACTATACTCCACTACACTACATTACACTACACTACATTACACTACACTACCTTCCACTACACTTCACTACATTACACTACACTACACTACATTCCACTACACTCCGCTACACTACACTACATTAGACTATACTACATTACACTGAATGACACTGCACCACAGATAGACAGGTAGACAGGTAGACAGGTAGACAGATAGACAGACAAACAGACAGACAGACAGATACATAGATAGATAGACAGGTAGACAGCTAGACAGATAGACGGATGAGAGAGAGAGAGAGAGATATATAGATAGATAGATAGACAGACAGATAGATAGATAGATAGGTAGATAGAAAGGTAATTAGATGAAAGCGGGAGAGAGGGAGAGAGAGAGAGAGAGAGAGATCGATAGATAGATAGATCGATAGATAGATAGATACATAGATAGATAGGTAGGTAGGTAGGTAGGTAGGTAGATAGTCAAGAGAGGAGACATCAACCACCTTTCGGTCCATCAGTGGCTTCGCTCTGCCATCCCTGATTCACAACAACCAACCTCTCCTATAGGTTTCCTATTTTTGAAACTTCCGCCGCCGCCTTAATTTTCAATGTGTTGATCAATGGTAATTTGAGGATCCTAAAATGGAGGTACGCTAGTACCATATGTTTGGCCATATTTTGTGGAGATATTCCCTGAAATTTAGGCCTGAGAAATAGGCCAAACATATATGGTAGGTACCTCCAATTTAGGTTCCTGAAATGACCATTGATTTAATGGGTTTAATGGGTTTACTATGGTTTAATATGGTTTAATGATGGTTGATGGGAAGTACTCACTGGGAGATCTTCAGGTTACCATTTATTGATGGTTTACCTATTAAAAATGGTGGATCTTTCCATGGCTATGTTAAATAACCAGAGGGTAAATCAACTCAGCTATCGTTTCAACGGCCATTTCAGGAACCGATTGAGGACGGAGGTACCTACCATATATGTTTGGCCTATTTTTCAGGCCTATGTAAGGGGATATGCCCCCCAGAATATGGCCAAACATATGGTACTAACGTACCTCCATGTATTGGATCCTGGAATGACCATTGACCCTCTGGTAATTTGTTACATAGCTATGGAAGCCATGGCCCATAGAAATAGTTGAACCTATTCAAAATGGTGATTTTCCATAGCTATGTTACGTATTTTCCATAGCTATTTACCACATTAAATCAAAATCTGGTTGGTGGTTTCAACCTACCCCTCTGAAAAATATGAATCAGTTGGGACGATGAAATACGCAAGATATGGAAAGTCATAAAATTCATGTTCCAAACCACCAACCAGTTTCTGATTCGGGGAGTGAACACCCACGGGAATCTTCGATGGATTTGTGGGAAGTGAGCAGCCACGCTACTACCTTTGATGATGGGAAGTGAACCGTCTAGCGAGTTTTTTTTTGCATTTTTAATATGGAGGTTTCCTAAGTCATGCGGGTACCCCCCAAATCATCCATTTTATTTTCGGATGTTCCATGATAAACCATCCATTTTTGGTAACCACAGTTTCGGAAACCCCAAAAAAATCATATTTGGGCGTGTCCAGAAGTGGTTAAACGACCCATTTTTTTGCTGGCATTTTTTCATCATTGGCACTGGACTATGATGACAAAATCCCATCCCCCACATCACCAATTTGTGGCCTCAGTAGATTCCCCCATTTGCAAAAGCAATGTCACCAACAAAAAAATACACATGACCTAAGCACAACAAAAAAAAGGATCCAGCCATTTTTTTCAGTAAAACCAGTGCAGATTCACCATTGATTTCTATGATGTCAAGCGCCTGGCTGGGAGCATTCCTCCTTCCCAGCCAAACGCACCATGGGCGCCCATGGGTTTTGTCTGGGTTTGTCTGGGTTTGTCAGGTACCCCATTTCATCCCATGGCTAATCATCATCTTCACCATTCAAACTGCCATTTCGGGGGTCTAATCACATTCTCGTACATTTTCAGTCAAACCCCTGTAGAGGCTGAAAACCCGTTCGAAAGTCTTTAGGAAAACGGATAGTTGGCCATTCCGGCTGAAAATAATTGTTTCACACTGAAAAAATATGGTGGCGCAGCAAGAGATTTCACTCTGATTAAAAACGTCAGTGACATGTCTTTTTAAGAATGAGGTACCCACCAAAAACCAGGGTTCCCCAGCACTTTTTGCACCTGCGCCATGAATACATTTTACGAAATGACATGTTTCTTGTTATTTGCCTTTCTATTTGATGGTTGGGAAACTCTTAGTAGCTCCTTGGCTCCCCATTGAATAAGGAATATAAAGGGAATATGAACACCCCCAGCTCCTTAGCTCCCTCCGAACCACTGGATAGCTTTGAAAAGAAATTCCCAATTAATTTCGACAGGCACCTTTTGGCCTTTTGGCCAAGTTCGCCAGAGGCTACCAGTACTGGTGACCCGTGTATATTGAGGATCTAAACATATGACCAATTTGTTCATTGAAATGACTCGACTACAAGGTGGTTCCCCGAGTGACATTTTTGTTGGTTTATGTTACCCTATACAAGTATAAACATATAACTAGCTCGATAGATCTGCCGTAAACCTGGACATCCGCACTAAAATGCACTAAAATGAAGCAACTTGGCACACATACGCAACATGAATCCCCCCATATCCGAAAAAAAAACATCATTGGTTAAGTCATAGAATTGGATCATGGGAAAATTTTAGCCGGAAACCCCTATATTTGATGGTAAAAAACATGTTTTAAACCATGGTTTCCGGCGAAGATTTTCCCAGCAAAACCAATCCATTGGTTAAGTCCCCATTACTGGTTAGGTCAGCCTGTGGATCACGTGGATATTTGTGGAAAAAAAGGTGGCACCAAGGGACCAGGGTATCCAGGGTCGGGCCGATGCGGCACGTCACAAAGTTCACTGCCTCGGCTTTGTTGAACAACGGAGGCCGGGCGGTGATGGTTGAATCACTTCAGAACAGCTTATTTTTCAAAGTAACACAAAAAACTACTATGTAATATATATATATAAATTATATATGTGTATATATATATATATATTCATATTTTCATATATGTATATAAATCTAATAATATGCAATAATATGCATAAATAATTATATTGATGTACACCTATACATAATTATACATATCATAATTTCAATGGATGAGACACAAGTTTATAAGCCTATACCATATACAGGTTATGAACCACCTGTAGTCACACAAAGAGTGTTTCCTAGCCAAGAAACGCGTGAAAAATGCTCGGTCCGACAGAAAAATGGGGATTTTCAGGTATTCGCAGCGGGATCTAAAACCTGGCATGTTGATCAACAAGAATCTTGTTGGTGGTGAAAAATATGAGTTCGTCAGTTGGGATGATGACATTCCCAACTGAATGGAAAGTCAAAAAAATCCATGGTTCCAAAGCGTTCCAAAGCACCAACCAGAAATTGTGACGTGAAGTGGCAAAAATGGGATGCTGATATAAGCTGAATGGGACCTGACAGCGACTGCTTGCAGTAAGCAGAGTGAACGAAGTCAATACAAATGCCATTTCAGGAACCTCATTTGGAGGTACCTGCCATATATAAGGCCTGCGTAAGGGAATATCCCCACAAAATATGGCCTTATATGGTACAGTACCTCCGTTTTAGGATCTTGAAATTCCCATTGATCAACACATTGAAAATTGGGTATCCATAACTTGGTCCACAACTGGTTGGTGGTATACCTACCCCTCTGAAACATATGAGTTCGTCAATGGGAAGGATGACATCCCATATATTATGGAAAATAAAAAATGTTTGAAACCACCAACCAGACAAAATCCACAGCTTGATCATGAACTTTACATCAAATAGCAATTTCGGGGATAGAAGATATTCTATTTTCAGAAAACGTCTTCTTCAGGATGTTACCAGCTTAATTTGAGGGGTCTGAGGTCTGAAGTTCCCTGATTTCCGGGGTGAACCATCATGGTAACATATGAGCGGTGTTCAAAAGTCATTCCAAAAAATACCGTTTGGCTAAGAGGGATTCCCCGTTCTTGGATTATACAGAAAATCCCGATTTTTTGAATTGGCTAGCATAATGGCATAATCCCCGAACTAATAAAATCACCAGTCATTTATCAATTATTTATATAAATATATAAAATACTATATCATACTACTTGGTGGATCACCCCACTTAGTAAGTGGGTTAGTTCACCCCAGTGATTTACATGGGATAAGTAGAGTTAATCCACTCAAAAAACTGGGGTGAACTAACCCACTTACGCTTCGTGGGATGAGCTATATCATACTATATCTCCATATTCTTGATGGTTAAAACCTTCATGATTTGATGATACTCATCGACCAACCAGGGGTTGGTTTAGCAGCCACTGCTCTGAAAATTCCACGCTGTTTTTCTTCAGACTTCCGTAAATGGGTCACTCCTCCAGACTACTGGCGAAATTAAAACATGGTTTACTAGCACAGAACTAAACGGAACAAAAAGAAAGGACCGCATCAGTTTCCCAAGTTGACTTATAACTAACTTGGTGAAAAACTCACATAAAAATGGGGAAAGAACTATATAGTTAGTATATAGTTAGTAGCCTTGACATGGGTTAAAAACGGGTTGATCAACCAATTTCTACACCTTCTCCAACTGTATCCATGGCACCGGCACGGCGCGGATCGCAGCAATGAGATTTTGCCACACATCGGTGACCTGCCGGCGGAAAACCAAACGAATATGTTCGACCTGTTTTAAGTCATTGGTAGTCCTTGCGATTGGTTGGTAAATGTTGGTAAATAAGTCCAATTTCATTCTGGTTTTTGTTGGTGATATATCTAACTAGTTACCCTCTGGTAAACTAACATAACTATGGACAGATCCACCATTTTTCATGGGAAAATATAGGAAAATATGGGAAAATCAACTATTTCTATGGTCATGTTCAATAGCTATGTTACAAATTACCAGAGGGTGATTCATATTTGTTTTAAGTCATTGGTAGTCCTTGATATTCCATACATGGAGTCTATGGAGTTTCGAAGAATTCCAGCAAAACTACCAGAGTTTGGGAGAGTTTCGGAATATGAAACTCAACAAAATCACTTGCTTTTATCCACAAAAGAAGGGTAAAATAGCACCACAACAATTGGTAAGTCCCGATGTTGGTAATATGCCAATAGCCAGTTGTGGGCCAGTGGATATCATGTGGATATCGGATGATATCGGGTTGTATCCCAACTCCTAAGCGTTATCCAGCAGTAACAGGCCATCTGATCCTTCGGTCTCGACCAACGTTGACATTCCAACAAGGGGGGCCTCTGGAAAGAATAGCAGTCCCAGCTACTGATTCAGTTTTTGGGTTGGAAGGCTGCGGAAAGATGGTTTCCAAAAGCACAGCCTGCTAAGAACATGATAGAGATGGGGATGTCTCAAAACAGGAATGCCCCAAAGCTCTGTTTCGCACACTCAAAAACAAAGGCTTGGGGCACTGCTGGGCACCCCTATCTTGAGACATCCCCAGATTCTTCAATGATTCTCGAATACAGGTACCCTCTGGTAAACTAACATAACTATGGAAAATCACAATTTTTAATGGGAAAATCCACTATAAATGGCCATGTTCAATAGCTATGTTAAATTACCAGAGGGTACTTTCATTACTAATGTCCCATTGCTAATTTCTATAGCTACCCTCTGGTAAACAGTCCCAAAAAACGATGGAACATCACCACTTTTCAAAAAACTAAATATCAATCATAACTGGGTCATTTTCAATAGCTTTTTGTATGTTTACCAGGCCGGGTATATCCCATGAAAATATCTCATTGAATCACCATAAAATCCTATTAAATCCTATTAAATCCAATTAAATCCCTATTAAATCCCACTAAATCCCAATAAAATCGCATTAAATCCCTATTAAATCCCTATTAATCCCCTATTAAATCCTTATTAAATCCCATTAAATCCCTATTAAATCCCTATTAAATCCCTATTAAATCCCTATTAAACACCATTAAATCCCATTAAACCCCTATTAAATCCCATTCAATCCCTATTAAACCCCTATTAAATCCCTATTCAATCCCATTAAATCCCATTAAATCCCTATTAAATCCCTATTAAATCCCTATTAAATCCCTATTAAACACCATTAAATCCCATTAAACCCCTATTAAATCACATTCAATCCCTATTAAATCCCTATTAAATCCCATTAAATCCCATTAAACCCCTATTAAATCCCTATTGAATCTCATCAAATCCCTATTAAATCCCTATTAAATCGCATTAAATCCCTATTCAATCCCATTAAATCCTTATTAAATCCCATTAAATCCCTATTAAATCCCTATTAAATCCCGTTAAACCCCTATTAAATCCCTATTGAATCTCATCAAATCCCTATTAAATCCACCAAAAAAGGCACCAAATCCCCACCCAATCCCATTAAATCCTTATTAAATCCCATTAAATCCCATTCAATCCCCATCAAATCCCTATTAAATCCCTATTAAATCCCTATTAAATCGCATTAAATCCCTATTCAATCCCATTAAATCCTTATTAAATCCCATTAAATCCCTATTAAATCCCTATTAAATCCCATTAAACCCCTATTAAATCCCTATTGAATCTCATCAAATCCCTATTAAATCCCTATTAAATCGCATTAAATCCCTATTCAATCCCATTAAATCCTTATTAAATCCCATTAAACCCCTATTAAATCCCTATTGAATCTCATCAAATCCCTATTAAATCCCTATTAAATCGCATTAAATCCCTATTCAATCCCATTAAATCCTTATTAAATCCCATTAAATCCCATTCAATCCTCATCAAATCCCTATTAAATCCCTATTAAATCCCATTAAATCCCATTCAATCCTCATCAAATCCCTATTAAATCCCTATTAAATCCCTATTAAATCCCATTAAATCCCTATTGAATCACTATTAAATCCCATGGAAAATCACTATAAATCCGGAAATGTGCCCCAAAATCCTGGTCTTACACCGGCAGAGATAAAACTGTTTTTTTTTTTTCGCCCTAAGTCAAAATTGTAGTGGATAACACATGGAAACATGATCATCAAAAGTCAACATAGTTTTTGGCAGACAATCCACAGTTTTTTTTTTACATGTGGATACATTATATATATAATATACTATATATAAATATAATAGAGTATATATAATACTGTGTATATAATACCGTGTATATATATATACATATTTATATATATCGGAATATCCCTAGTTTTACCATCGAAACATCTAGCCTTTTTCGATCCCAATTCGGCCTTCTCAAAGGCAATGCGCGTGACCCATTTGTTGGAGGGTTCAAAGGCACGCGCCGTCCTTGGACAGAAAAAAAAGGAGGCGATTTGCCGTGCTTGACATATGTGTTTATCAATATAAACGACTACTATTTCATATAAATGATATATATATATAAATACATGTAGATATGTTTACTGCCCAAAAAATATGGAAATGTGATTGATCACTACTTTATTAGGATTTTACTTTCAAATATGTCTGGGATTCCTGTATATACAGTACATATATGTAGCAACTAGCAACCCCAAAAACGGAATAGAAAAGAACAAACATAGTTTCAGTCTACCACTCAGTTTTAATGTATCTTGCTAACTTTTTTTTGGTGCGCTACATATATGGCATGCTATTCATATCCTCTAATTTTTTCAAGCTTGGCTTTTCTCTACGCACATAATACATATATATATATGTGTATATTTACAGTTATATATTTCTTGAATATTACGGCAACCCCAAAAAAACAATGAAGAACTTGTGATGATTTCCTATCCCAAAGTGGGGCTTGTTTTTTCGAACCAGAGAAAACCATCATCTTCCAGCTGAGGTGCCACTTGTAGTTCTTCTGCCAGGAACCTTCCACCCAACGTCCATGGGAGCGGAAACGGAAGATCGACATCCTGGCGATCAGCGGCGATCAGCGGAGATGGGATGGAATACATAGGATTTATATAGATACATTATATTATACTATACATTATAGCACATAGATTATATTATATAGATTTATATAGATTTATATATACTGATAGATTTATATATACTAATAGATACATTATATTATATAGATTTATATATACTGATAGATACATTATAGCCATTATAGCATTGTATAATACTACAATGTTCAGCTACCTATTATGCATTAATACTGATAGATACATTACATTGTATATATTTCTGTACAATATTATGTGCAGTATTCAATCTATCAATATACCTATATATAAATATAATTATATAATGCAATATTATATTTACCTGGATGTATTAGTATATATATATATATTAACTATACATCCAGGTAGGTGAACTCTGGTGGTTCATAGCATATATATATACACCCTCTGGTAATTTAACATAGCTATTGAAAATTGCCATTTATCTTGAATTTTCCCATAAAAAATTGAGGTTTTCCATAGTTATGTTAGTTTACCAGAGGGTACTGGCAGAAAAAAATGGTTGATGGTTGAGCCCTACCCGCCGGAAAAATGATGGAGTTCGTCAATGGGAAGGATGACATCCCATATATTATGGAACATAAAAAATGATTGAAACCAGCAACCAGAATAGAAACAGGACATTAATCAGGATATATCATCTATAGCCAATGACATCCAATGACATTCTAGATACATTGGATGTCATTGGCTATAGATTATGTCATTCCTCTTATTTAAGCAATTAAATATCCATCCAAAAATGGTTTTGTCACCATGTTACTGCCGAAATATCTTGAAACAGGTGGTTCAAGGTACTCAAACAGCAGGTATCTTTATACACCATAGGTATCTTAAAAACACCTGTTTTGTTTAATGGGGTACTTTTTTATGTTTTTTTAGATACTATGTTACTATGATGTTTAATGGGTGAAATTTCATGAAATACCTATAGATCTTCAACAAAAACTACTGGTATTCCAAATATCCCACCTGGATCTAATGGCCATTTTGGCAGAACATGTTTCCATCTAATGGCCATTTTGGGATACTTTTCCTGGCATTTTTTGGCCCAAATTTTTCAAGGCCAAGGTGCCAGGTACCACCACAGTGCTCGCAGCTGGTGCTGTTCTCATCCTGGGTGAACATCTCACAACCTCAGACGTGATCGGTGCGTTATACGTCGCTGGGTTTCGTGCGATTCCATGGATTTCATGGAGAAAAATTTGAGGTGGTGCCCCCCACAGTGAAATATAAATGGCTGAAATCATCCCATGAAAACTATAGTTATAAATGGCTGAAATCATCCCATGAAAACTAGTTCGATATATCACCATTAATGGGTTTTAAATGGGTAATAGATTCGGGTTATAATCACTATAATAATACCATAAATGGCTGAAATCATCCCATGAAAACTAGTTCGATATATCAGCAATAAAAACCATAGTGAAATTGGACTTATTTGCACCAACTTAGCGACTCCGAACTGGGGCACTACCCTGTATGATATGTATGAATATATAATGGGGATACATTGGATATAGCCAACTAACCAACTTAAGATAACTCAGTTAGCCAAGTTGGTGCAAATCGCTGGGTGAAGAGTACAACCACGAAACATGGAAGCCTTTGGGAATCGGATGTGGAAGAGATTTTGTCCGATTCCAATCAACAATGCTATAATTTAACAATGCCATCATTGGATTTAGTGAAAGGAAGTTAGTGGGATTCGATGGGCATAATACTTGGGATTTTCCATGATCCGGACATAGAAGCAACACTATGATAATCGTGGCTCTATCCATGGGGTATACCACCATTTATTGCCATTATACATGTGAAGAGGATGATTCACCAGTGGATTTTGGGGTAGCCGATTTTCAAACAAACCCACATGAACACCAAGGAAATGGATCTGGAGAATCAACCATTTTGGGTGCTGTAAATTCTTTGAAGAACGAAGCCTATAGAATCCTATGTATATATATATATGACAATCTAAAAATATCTAAAATCTCAAAATATGGCAATTGATCATATTTGTCACCAGAGGTTTGAGATGGTGTGAATTGATTCTTTGATATTTCGATTTCACATCCATTTTCAGTCATTTTCATCTAATGGGAATCTATTTCTCATGCAAATGATTAAGGACATGGATGGCACCCATGACAAGATAGGGATAACATGCTATTCAATAGGGATCACCATCTCAGGGATGCAAAGAAACGTGACATCGCCATCGCCATCGCCACGATTATTGCACCATCCCACATGACCATAAAATGGTGGTATGCTTACCATTTCCCCTTATGGGTGGTTTATGCCATTGGTTTACCCACAAAAAATACTTAATAAAACCCTTAAACAACGGTTTGCACAGGTTTTTAACACTTCCGAGTCAGCATCTGCAGTTGATGGACTCTCAATTTTGGCTTTCTGTTGCTCGAATCGCAAGTGGGTATGTCTGAAGATGGGGTATAGCGCCAAAATGGTGATTAATCATGATTAAACATGATTAAACGTCAAATTTTCAGGTCTACACCCAAGTGAAATCCCAATTGAACATCACATTTTCTAGGTAACATCTCCATTTTTATCCATTTTTGATGTCACCCACATCTGTGGCCAGCCCTCAGAACTACCCAGGTGGCTCCTGAGTTGGGTCTCCAAACGGCCTTCCGACTTGCTTCCGCGCAACTGCCAGGTGCTGAGGATCATTGGATTGGTTTTGTTGGGAACATTTTCACATCATTTTCCCAGCATATTTAATCATATTTCAATGGATTGGTGGGAAAATGTCAACCGGAAAACTCCATATTTAATGGGAAAACCTATGCTTCCCGGTTTCGGTTTTTTTTTACCAACAAAACCCATAGGGAGAGGATTGATCGGATTGATGCTCCTATTTCCACCAATGATTTTATCCCTGGCAATGGCATCAATGGTAAATTCAATATTAGTATACCTTGAAGTATACCTAAAATGACCGAAAAAAGGAGGGAAACCCCCAGTCTCTGGAGTCTTCGAAGCAATTTAGTAAGATAATTGCCACGATGTGACAAGGTTATTATCAACTAGTTTATGGTGTTGTGGGTGATAACAACCATCAGGTCCATCCATTCCATCATTTTTACAATCCGCAAAAGGTGCTCATGACAGAAAGGCACCGTAAAAGGACGGTCGTTGGTTCCTTTTAAATCCATGTCTGGTTGGTGGTTTCAACCCCTCTGAAAAATATGAAAGTCAGTTGAGATGATTATTCCCAATATATGGAAAAATAAAAAAATGTTCCAAACCACCAACCAGATGTCCCCATGTCTGTTCGTGGTTACCATGTCACCATTTCATGGTGATTTGTTGATGAAACCAGTTGTGGGACTTGTTTTTTCTCGACCCATCAAATCCAAAGGCGAAGAATCCACCATGATATACCCGGCCTGGTAAACAGTCCCAAAAAACGAACTGGAAAGATCCACCATGTTCAATGGGTAAATCCTCTATTTCGACTGGGCCATGGCTTCAATAGCTATTTTGACATAACCAGAGGGTATGGCTAGACATCATCCAGTGGAGTTGGAGTTCCATCCAAAAAACGGGTTAGCTGATGGGTATTTTTGCTGTTATGGTGTGATCCCCAACACGACAGGAAAGTCCTTTACCCCCTACTGTAGTTCAATAATCAAGCAACAGCTTCGAAAGCACTTGTCGCCTGTACCTTAAACCTGCTCCAACTGGCGTATCGTTGCTGGATTTTATCATCCTCATTTGTTGCCAACTGGAAACCCTTTGACAACAAAACGTCCTGTCACCATCCCTAGATATTTATGAGGTTGCAATGGCTCCCAATCAAATCCTGGTTGCTCCCAAGTGGTAAGTATGGCCTCATAAAAATGCCCAGGATCAGTCCGGGGTCAGAGTTCAATCCTTTGCTTAAATTTGCTTATAGGCTTACTGGTGCTTAGTGGGGAATGGATGGGTTGCTGGGGGGTGCTGGGATGATTCTTGGTAGTTAGCCAGTGGATCATTCCCGAAAATTCCCTGCGTAAAACGCACCAGTAGGGTACAGAAGAAATACAGCCAGCCGATTCGCCGATGCGTTTCATGCCACATTCACCGAGCCAGTGATTCACCGAGCAGGTTGGAGAATGTTGGAGCGTTACGTTGATGTGGTACTAATGTCCCCATCTTTGATACTAATGTGGTACTCCCAAGACAAACAACCATCCCAAAAAAACCAACCAGTTGGGTGACATGTTATCCTTTTACATCTTCCAACACCCAAAAAGACCGCTATTTGGGATGGTTAATGGCATTGGCTTTACGATACTCTACTTAGAAGTGCAGTTCCACTTCTAAGTGGATATAGCGAACCCCCCAAGTAGTTCCTCACAAATTCCGGTGAATAAAATTGATTGCTATAGTCATGAAGAAAATCTCTACAATGTGGGCCCCCCCGGTGATGTGAACGTTGGTTTAGATTCGCCCCAGTAACTAGTTCGTTATTTGCGTACCATGTTTACCATAGTGAAATTGGAGTTATGTGCACCAACTTAGCTATCGAACGGGGGCCTCACTTTGTAGAAAATCATTTCGCATTGGTTTACCATCGATTTTCCCACATTTTCCCACAGGGATCCCTTGCCAGGTGCCGCCACCTGAATGCAGCATGCCATGGTGCCGCTGTAGAAGCCACCGGAGCCTCAGTGACGCGGCAAGTCGTTCCCCCAATGACAAAACTGGGGACAGAATAAGGGGTATACTTGGTGGCTCATCCTACTTAGTAAGTGGATTATAACCCCGGTTATAAATGGGATAAGTAGGGTTAATCCACTTATAACTGGGGATAATATAAGGGTTAATAAGGGAAATCATCCCCAAATGGCCCAAGAATTCAGGTTAGTGAAATATTATTTCATTTACCCAGATGGATGTCTCAAATTTCCACCGGTTGGTTGATGGAAAAAAAGGGGTTAGGAGAAAGCCCGGAAAAACAACAGGCAAACCTATGATGATAGATGGGATTACCAAAACATCCCGGCCCCTCTATTTTTACCAATTTGGGACATTATTGGGGTATTCTGTGGATGGTTGCGAATTCTGCACCACCAAAAGGATGGTGATAGCTAGTTCAATACTTTACGTTCGTTCCCGCTAAACAGGGATATAGACTACAAGATGGGGCCCCAGTTCGTTAGCTAAGTTGGTTTATAGCTACAATAACAATAGTGTATGATACTTCTATTTATATTTAGATTGGGGTATAAACCAACTTATACCTGGGGGGCAGCATCCTGTACCAAACCAACTTGATAACTAAGTTAGTCAACTAAGCTGATTTATTGTACATCATATATGCAATATATGTCAACTAATGGTTTGATGGTAGATGCCTCTGTATGTTCGAAAGGATAACATACACCAGACAAAACTAGGGAGCACTACCTTGTAGTGGTCATTGGTAAGACAAACCACAAGCCTTGGGTATCTTGATCGGTTGCTTACATTACATTACATTGCATTAATGTTGTCTAGCCAATAATGATACCTTGTCAATAGTAGAAACTTTTTTCCCAACTCCAGTTTTTTCTCCAATACTAAAAGTCAATTAGCTTAATTTGATTTTAGTATTGCCAAACAACTCATGTTCTGACCTTGTCCAGAGGGCATGGCCAATAGTGGACCCAACATGGCAATACTTGCCCTTGATGGCAGCGGATCCTGTCAAATCAGGGCGTCCCTCGTGCATCATCCTGATCACATTGATATTGTACCCGCCCGGAAAGATTCCCAGGTAATGGCGCTCCAAGTAGTCCTCGATGACCTCGTTGACCAGGCGTTGATTGAACACGCAATTCCGTCGGAAGAGCGGAAATTCAAATTGAATCATGCCAGGGTGAGGAAGTGGAGAGTCGTATTCCACACCAAAGGCCTTCTTGTAAGCTTTCTTCAGCAGAACAGCCAAGGGGCGCAATTGGCGGAAACGCCCAAATCCAACAGTCAGCGGCATTTTGCCTATGTCGCACTTCAAGCTGTTCAGCTTGATGATGGTAGCCCTCTCCATGGCCCCAGGAGCATGATCCCAATGCATGCCTGCGGCTCCCCTACATGTTCCTTGGTGATATAAGAACTAGGGAACCAAGGATAGCGGAAATTGGGGCAAAGTACCGCCTGAAATCACTGAGTACCCGCGAAGTCGAGGAAAACTTGGAGTTGTGACCACAGCAAGAGGGTCATACAGTCATACAGAAATATTTCGTCCCAGTAGATATCCCCAAAGATGGATTCACCAACATAAACATATTACCCTCTGGTAAGCTAACATGGCTATGGAAAATCCACCCATTTTTGATAGGTAAATAAACTATTTCTATGACAATTTTCAATAGCTATGTTAAACTACCAGAGGCTAATTATATTTATATCCTTCAATGTCTGGAATAAAAACACCCTGCTGCATGTGGGTTTGTCCGTTCCGAATATTTCTTGGTCCTTCAAAATCCCATACTTTGTCAGAATTCTTCCCTTGAAATGGTTACGTTCCGGCACATTGAACCAATGCGACGTGGCCATTGTTCAATGGGACCAAAATCATTGGAGGCTCCCCAGCCATGTTTGATTTCCATTGCCACAAATACTGGTTGGTGGTGCAATAACCATCTTGAAAAATGATGGAGTTCGTCAATGGGAAGGATTATTCCTTTTTTATTATGGAAAGAACATTTTTGAACCCACCAACCAGCTATAGTTATAGGTATCATAAACCATAGTTATAGTAGTACAGGTATCCCAATATATGGAAGTCATTAAAAAATCATGTTTGAAACCACCAACCAGAATATCATGGATACATCCAAGTGGTTCCACAGCCATATCCCAGCCATATCGCGCCACTGACCCCTGTGGTTCCACACTCATCTTCTTCCATGCCTCGCTAAAAACATGACATCCCAATAACCCACCAGGCGTGGCCTAGTTTGCTACGCCATGTTCAAGACACAGTTTCCTGAAATAGGGGTCCCCTAAATGATCAATTTTATAAGATTTTCCCTTATAAACCATCCATTTTGGGGTACCCCCTCTGGTAAACTAGCATATCTATCGAAATACATGCTACAGAATGCTAAAAAACCCGTAGGAAATGATCTAGAGTCATGCTGGATTTTCCTTTTCCATAGCTATGTCAGTTTACTGAAAACAACTCTGGGAAAGACCAGCAACAATTGGGATTCGCAACCCTCACATGGTGCTAAAAAAACAAAATGGTGAATACATTGCCAATCTTAGATATCTTAGATACCCTGCAAAAAATCAAATTCTTCGCTGGTTAGTAGATATTCCCATTGATACTAAAAGACTAGTTAGGATTAGTTGGTACCCATCTAAGATTCACCTAGTTGCTTATTACAAAATGGTGGAAGGGCTATTCTCAATGGCCATTCCAGGATCCGATTCATTGGAGGTACCTACCATATATAAGGCCTATAATTGGATCCTGGAATTCCCATTGATATTCGCTGGGGATGTCAATTTGGATCAGTCCTTGTCCAAGTCGACATGCCATCCGGAACTTGGTACGTCAGGAATTTGGTCACTCGAAAATTCTTAGGGCTGGGCTAAGCGATGGTAAACGTTTACAGTTTGCGAACTCGAAAATCATCATCTTGAATAGGGAAATCCCAGCTTTTTTGGGAAAATACCCTCTGGTAATTTAACATAACTATGGAAAATCACCATTTTTCATGGGAAAATTCACTATACATCAACATGTTCAATAACTATGTTAAATTACCAGAGGGTACGCGATGGTAAACGTTTCAGATCACGCCAAATCGCTTCCAAGCGAAGGATTGGCTGTTCCTTTCGCCGCTAAATGCCTTGGGAAAATACAACATCTAGGTAACTATTCAAGGTAAGGCCCCCAAACGATAGCTAAGTTTGTTTATAACGTTTTATAGCTAGTGAATTCTATGGTTTATCAAGATATATCTAGACATATCTATACTATTTATGGGTTTTAAAAGCCAACACAAACAACATGTCAAAATGATAACTAAGTTCGTTTATAGCTACTTTAACTGCCTACTAGTATTCACAAACCATATATTTGGTTGTTTAATGAGTTTATGTTTGTTGGTTTATAAAACCCATGAACAGCATAGATATATCTACTCTAAACCATAGCTAAGCAATAGTTGCAAACAAACTAAGTAACTTCGGTACATCGTTAACCGAAGATTGTTATAAGCAACCATAGTTAACCTAACATAGCAATGTTATAACTATCTTTTACATCACTATGTCTTTTTGTTCATAACCTAGTTAACTATGGTTAGGTGAACTATGGTTTAGCTATGTTAGGTTATGACATGTTATAACAATATGCTTAGGTTGTAACAATCATTTACAACACATAGAGGTTTCCAATCCATGGGGGTACACCCAGTTATCATCCAAGGTTCGTAGCCGGGCACTTCACACTTGGACTTACTGTGCGCCGAAGGGAACCACTTGGCACCTGCCTGCGCAACCGTGGCTTTGGCTGAGTTCATGGTGATTTCATGGTGATTTAATGGTCATTTAATAAAATTTAATTGGATTTTATGATTTTGTGGTGATTGGATACGATTTAGTAATTTCATAGTGATGTGATCGGAGTTATGCTGACTTAACTGGGGGCAAACAAGTGATTCCATGGGTTTCGAGAATGGTTTCAGCAACTGGTGAGTGGTACCTGAAGACTTAACGAGCCATCTTTGTGCGGCATCTTTGTGAGGCTGGCCACCAAGAATTCATCTGGGAATATGATGGGATATGTGTAATGTGGGTAAAACGATGCCATAAACCATCTCCCAGTCATCACCGATTTTATAGGTGGTATCAAAATTCCCAATCATGGGTGGTTTACTATTTTATTGTTGTTTTACCCACACTATACAGTATACATAGATATCATATGTACATATGGAATATGGTGCCTCCAATCATATCAGATATGGGATGTCATGCACTAAGAAATACAATGAATCATACAGGATGCTGCCCCCCAGTTATGTTCGTTGGTTTATAAACCCATCTAAATATAGTTATAAGATGTTATAAGTATCATACACTATTGTCATTATAGTTATTTGCACCAACTTAGCTAACGAACTAGGGCCCCATCCTGTAGGTATTTCCTGCAAGTTTGTTTGCCCTATTATATAATTATTTTTTTTCCACAGCAAGTGGTTGATAGCCTATGTTTCATAAATAGCTGGTGAAGGTCCCACAGTCGTAACTGGGTGAAAAAACTAACTATGGTCATTAGCCGTTTATCCGGTTTATCCCCATCATGTCTTAGGGAATTATCTTAGGTATGAAAACTAATCACTATAGTCATTAATGTCTTCAAGATTTATAATCATTATAATGTCTTAAGCATTTGTCCCTGTAATACTAAATAATCTTATATTACATTCATAATGATAACATATCTTCCATAGTAGGTAATATATCATAACATGTATATTCCATATAGTATATAACAAATATAATATGATAATTGTTTATAATAGTTTTTTGTTCTATATAATCACGTTCATATCATATTCAATTTCTTTGGATTTTGAACCGGAAAGTCCCTAAGAAGAATTCGGTACTTGACAGCAGGGATGAGCCGCTCATAGTCGTCGCATCCACTGCGCAATCGGCAACAGGCACAACGTCGATTCTTCTATAGCGATGGATCAACATTGAAGACCACAAATAAACACATATAAAAGTATAGTAAAAAGGAATATTATGTATTATTCTGGTTGGTGGTATACCTACCCCTCTGAACAATATGAGTGCGTCAGTTGGGAATATGACATTCCCAATTAAAATGGAAAGTCATAGAATTCCATGGTTCCAGTCACCACCAACCAGAATAGTAAAGAAATATCTACCCCATTAAATCCCATGGAAAATCCATCCATTTTTAATAGGTAAACCATCTCTTTCTATGGGCCATGGCTTAACCATGGCAAACTGTTAGTCATAACCAGAGGGTAAATGATGTTAAATGTTAATTTCTGGGGGTTCCTCCAGTTATTAAACCACTATTAACCACTATTAACTAACCATTGTTAATGAACCTGTATTAACTCATGATTGGGGTAATATATTGGGCCGAAAAAGAGGTGCCTACCGTGGACGACCATTTTGGCATGACCAGCTACACCACATAAGCGCAGCTCGTCAACGAGGTGTGCAGATGAACAAACACGAAACAATTAAAAAAAAACATGAAACAGAAACAGAACTTAATAAACTTGGTGGTGCAATGTGCCCATCTTGAAAAATATATGAAATGGAAAATTAAAAAATGTTTGAAACCACCAACCAGTTAAACTTAGTACTGTAACATAGAGTCAGCAGGCTTCAAAACATGCAACAGTCGACAAATAATTATATATAGTCAACCAGAGGTTCTCCTCCAGCAAAGGGACGTACCAGACTGTTTGCCAATTGGAGCCATGACAAACGATGTTCAGAAATGGCATCTTCTTGCCGTTCCACTTGATGAAGAATGTGTCCACCGGAGTCCACCCCGATGATGCGATTGAAGTCAAAGGTTCGAGGGTAGGCAGCGGCTCGACGTCTTATCTCCCTCTTTTGTCTCATGCACTCTTCACAGTGCAGTTCATCTCTTATGTACCTAAGCACCTTTCCTTGAGCTCTGGCTGCCTTCAGCATGACAAGCATCCTGTCTTTCGGAAGGTGTCCCATGATTCCCATGATCCAAATGATCATTAGATTGTCATTACCCTCTGGTTATGACTAACATAGCTATTGAAAATGGCCATAGAAATAGTGAGTTTTCCCATGAAAAATGGTGGATCTGTCCATAGTTATGTTAGTTTACCAGAAGGTATCATGTTTATTGACATAAAAACAACAAAATCACATCCTATGGCGGGTGACCACTCCAAATTCTTCTGCGAAAACTCGAAGCGATTGCTGCCACTGCCAGTGAGGAGAGAAGCGGGGATCCTGTGAATGGCGCCCAGCTTCAATGCGCACGATCGCACACAGATCGCACCTTTATCACACAGATATCTATGATATATGCAGTAAATGTGTCAAAATGTGTGAGGTGTTTTGACAGAAACGGTGGATGGTTGCGAAATCCTGCACCAGTTGATAGGTGGTGTATCCCATTCTTTATAGGGTCTCAACCATCCAAGGTGGTGCAGGATTTCTTCCATCCAGTCCTTTGGCTCCAAGGAACCGGATCCTATGAGGATGGATCACAGTAAGCAGCTTGTGTTTCTGGTTTAAGAACTGGAACCCCCAGAAACTTACCCCAATCATGAGTTAATACAGGTTCATTAATAATGGTTAGTGAATAGTGGTTAATAGTGGTTTAATAACTGGAGGAACCCCCAGAAACTAACATTTAACATCATTTACCCTCTGGTTATGACTAACAGTTTGCCATGGTTAAGCCATGGCCCTAATCGAAATAGATGGTTTACCGAACTTTAAAAATGGATGGATTTTCCATGGCTTTTTTTTAGTCATAACCAGAGGGTAACTGACTCACTAGCAAGTGGGGAATGATCCTCCAAATATCATGGTGGATTTTGGGTGATTTTCCATTAGAAAAACTAGAGGATTGAACTACCCCAAGGTTGGGGATGGTGCCTCTATGAATTCATCCGGCTTTTTTTTCCCCCAAAAAACAACTAAGCTTGGTAAATCGGTTTCCGAATCCTATGGCTTCTCATAATCCCCCCAAAAAAACATGTAGCATTATATATGATAGCTTATAAACAAAATATAATCACCATTAAACCATGTATAATAGCCTATAAACAACCAATCAGCAAGTGAATCAAAAAAACAATAGCCTATAAAAATACCATTGTACTATGGGTCATAGTAACGCAACTATTTTTGAATATAATCAGCAAGTAAAAAACATCAACAATGCCACTTTTCATAGCTCAGTCAACTGGCGGCACCTGAGTGCAGGCATCCTTCGAGGTAACCTGATACAACATGCATCCGTAGCTTCGATGTTCACCGCCCAAGGTGGAGCATTCCTGAGATGTCAAAAGATGGCGTTCCGGAAAAGTTTCAGGGCTGAGCCATGAAAAATGCTGTGACTTGAATGGGTTTATTTTGGCAAAAATTAGGACTTGACCGTGATTGAACCAGAAAAACATGTGGAATTAACAAAGCCAAAAGGGATTTGAGCAAAACACACGTTGTTTTAACCACCAAATTTATCCAAATGTGGCGATGAACAACACCTTAAAAATCGTCTAATTAGGCCACTTCTTTCTCAGCCATGAGAAGCCTCATGCACTCCTCCTTGGTGATATCTTCTTGGATCTCCCTGGCGTCATGCCACGGACACCCAGCTGTTCCATGGAGTCCAGTCCTCTCTCCTCAGCAACATAGAATCAATGGGAGATCTCCAGGATCCTAAATTTGATTGGAAAGGGAATATCCCCACAACATATGGCCTAAAATATGGTACTTTAAAACGTACCTCCATGTATTGGATCCTGGAGATCTCCCATTGATAGAAAGGCTGAAACTCATCATAGTCGTCATAGTTTCCTGTGGTCTGAGCCTCCTTGATCTTCTCCTTCTTCATCACTGCCCCCACATTGGGGATATGCATGCTGTTGCCGATGCTGCCATGTGGATCTTTGAGGTGCTCCCATCAGATCCACTAAAGCCCACCAGATTCAACCAGTTTCGCACCTTTAAAGAGAGCCTTGTTCTGACCCACGATGCAGGAAACGACCCGGGGCAGGTGAACCATGATGCATCCCTGGGGTCATTGGTGTCCCGCGACACATGGGGATCCACATCCAGGTACCGTACAGACCCATCACGTTGTCCCAAAAAATGCCATTTCGATGGAGCAAAGAGGGTACACATTTGATGGTTTATTCTCCTTTTCCAATTTTTTGACTTACAAAATGTTCACTTAAAACCATTGCCATAGGATGAAACATATGAAGCATACAATGGGATATGGGGGTTATAAAGGTATGTACATATATATATACACATAATATACATATTGGGTTTAACAAAAATAATCCACCCATTTGGGAATGGTAAGCATACCTTTTTGAAAAGTGGTGATGGCTGGGGGATGGTGGTTTATGGCATTGTTTTACCCACATTATCTGGTTGGTGGTATACCTACCCCTCTGAAAAATATGAAAGTCAGTTGGGATGATTATTCCCAATATATGGAAAATAAAAAATGTTTGAAACCACCAACCAGCTATAACTATGTATATGGGGGCAAATGATATGTATACATTGCCACTGTCAACGCGTGGGATTGTTCAGGTTTTTTGTCCTCTGTCACATGATGGGAATCCTATGGCTTTATCTAATCCAACTCTTGACTGGTTGGTGGTTTCAACCCCAGTTGGGATTATTATTCCCAATATATGGGAAAAATGTAACACCAACAAGTTGATTATAGTTGGTGGATGTTGGTTCTATATCCCATTATATTCACATTGATATCCCACTATATCACCATTTTGAACGGTTAAATCCAACTAATTTCACCACGGCACACATGAACCCTGCGATGGAATGGGGGTTCGAATCTGAAGACATGCCTGGTCTAATGGGAGGTTTTGGGGTATGCCATGGTATGCCCCAATGTTGTCTGAAAATGGGGTATAATTACCCCCAAATTCGAGCAAGAAAAATTGAGATTTAAAATGGTGATTTAATGGGATTTAATGGGATATCAATGTGAATATTAAATGGGATATTTCATGAGATCATCATTTCCAGTAAATTTCCAAATTTTTGGCTATATCATGGTATATCACCTGTATCATTCATGTTCATGGCACGTGGGTGTGTCTGAAAATGTCGTGTACCCCTTTTTACCCAATGGTTTTGCTGATCATTATCCTTATTAAATGGCTATTTGTTTGGGAATATACCCTATTTTCCTTGTGATTCGCTTCCCAGCCCAAGCATCTCCCCAGAAGTCTCGGTGGGGACTGTAGGACGTGTCTTTACCTCAGCACGACTGGTGCCCTCCTCCGTTGTTGTTGTGGCTGAATTTTTTAATCCCATTAGGAGGGTTTAATATGGTTTACTATGGTTTAATATGGTTTAATATGCTTTTATAGGGATGACCGTTGGATAATGATGGGATAATACTGGGATATTAGATATACTCTCTGGTAAACATAGAAAAAACGATTGAACATTGCCATAGAAATCATGGATTTACCTAGTTACATTAGTTTACCAGAGGGTAACTAGTTCGATATATCACCGACAAAAACCAGAATGAAATTGGACAAACATTTGCACCAACTTCGCGATTCCGAACTGAGGCACCACCCTGTAGTTGAGTCCATGAAGGATATTCAGAATTCTCGATGTTTGGAGGGGTCGGAAAACAGCAACTGATATCTAGGCGTCACCATTTACCAGGGTCCTTATCTTTATCCCATTCCCTGATACTAATATCGTGTACCCCTTTTCTGTCCTCCAAGTGAGAGGAAACATAAGGAAACCAGAAACCTGTGTAAACTGGTTGCAGCAACGGCAATGAACTTGATGATTGTTTTTGCGCCTAGTAATGGGACTATGTTTGTGACGACCACCGGTCATGGATGGTGTATGCTTGGGTTTACTACATTAATCCCATCCACGGCTCAATATCAAATACCCCCATTGCATGGTCCCAAATATGTGTGCCAATCCCATACCAAACCATGGTTCCTGGGCAGTGTTTGCTATGGGGGAAGGGATTAATATGAACATCGAAATTCATCCATTTTTCTTGGTCAATCAATTCAAACCAATCCCAAACACTTCCACCATCTACATGGGCGTTATTTCTGCGCAGAAAATGATAGTTTCCAAATTTATCTCAAATTCCAGAACAGTTACTTGGTAGGAGGACGTTACATGTTCATTCACTTTCATTTCCTCGTGATTGGTGGGCTAAACCCAAAATTCCGTGAGTCAAATTCCCACGTGTGTTTTTGAATCTCAATGTTCGTGAACAAATCCGCATTTTTGTTGCTTCAAGACCCTGATTCTTGTTGCTTAGATTCCCTAGATCCACAAATCTCCAAATTTTTGACGCAAACCTAATTGGATATTGTTGAGTGCATCCCGATTGTGTTGTTTTGTCCTGGTTGCAAACCCCATTTCTTTATTGTCACAGACCATGTGATGGTGTGATATTCTACTCATTGCCAGTTAAATCCCGATTTATTCCATCATTTACTTTAAAATCATATGTTAAATAGTTAAATGTTAAATCCAAATAAGTTTAATAAACAATTCACCTCAAACACCAAATTTTCCTCGTGAAATCAGGATTTTTCATGTTTACCCGATATTTTCCCAAGTGAGATCCCCATGTTTCATGGATCACTCTCCGCAGCATGGCGAACGCTGAGTTGCTGAAGTCGTTGGGCGCCACACACAGGCCGCCATTTTCCTGCAATTCTTGTGGTGACATGCGATGCTGATTAGAAAAAACATAGAGGAACATGTGTTTAAACAACATTTTTTTGGTGATGTTTTTTTGAAAATATATAAATCTATAGCTGATTATTTATTATAACAAAGTTGGTGCAAATGGTGGATGACTTGGGTAGGGATAGCTCATGGCCATCAACCATCAACGGGAATCAATTCATGTTCATTCATGCTGATGAATGGTAATGAATGAATGGATTTTCCTGAGAGCTGGGGATGGCCGACTCTTCAATTCTGGGCGATCCGCAGTCAAAATGCGCATGGACATGTCACAAGAGCCATTTTATCCGAGAATTTACAGGAAAACGCCCCAGACCAGATGGATCCCATGACCGCGACCCGCAGTTTGCGCAAGCCTGCGCAGTCGAAATGCACAAAGACATGTCAGAAGAGCCATTTTATGCAAGAATTTACAGGTAAAATGCCGCAGGCCAAGGAAGGACTTGTACAGGATCATGCAGGCTTCTTCGGGAGGATTTGAGCAGGATCTCCACAAGATCTTCTCAGAATGAGCTGTACAAGATCAAGCAAGGACCTTTTCAATGATTCGCAAACCTCTACAAGAGACAATTTCACCCGGATCTCCACAAGATCTTCGCATAAGGAAATGTGCAAGATCTCAGCAGGGTCTCCACACAGCCAGCCAGCAAGCCAGCAAGCCAGCAAGCCAGCAGCAGCAGCAGCATGCAGCAGCAGGTCTCTTCGGGGTCCTGGCATGAAGATCTTGTGTCTTTTTCGATTCCCCTGGAAAGATCTTGAAGAGATCTGGGTGAAATCATTCCCAAGAGGTCCTCGCATTGAGATCTTGGATATTTTTTCTATATCATCTATATATAAATGGGTTGTAACTATCATTGCTAACCAATGATTAAGTGGGATGCTCCTCCAAGTAACATGTTTGTCATTGTTCCAAGCATTATCAACCTGTCAAGCTGTATGCAAGTTTCAATCCTTTTAAATCGATCACACACAACTGAAGGAACACAACGGACACGATAGCCTTCTGGTGTAAAGCCGCACAGCCAAAATTCACAGGTTTAAGGGTATAGATGTAAGGAACACATCATATATCACAAAATTTCATAGTTTCCACTTGGGTGTGGTACAATGATAATTTACCAGTGGCTTGAAAAGTTTTTTCCCTGAATTTTCAGGCACCAAACCCAAATCTCATATTGTTGGCTCGTTGTAATTCTATCTGAATTATATCCCCATGATATTCCCGACCTATGACCCCATCACATTGTTGATTAAGCATGACCAGACATTGAGAATAACCCCCCAACTTCACATGGTTGGCATAAGACCTTACTACTGGTTGTGGGAGGTTAGAAAACACCTTTGATAAGCCCTCATATTGTCGGTGACCTTTGGAGGGTTGAATCCCATTCTATTCAACTATATCCCCATTGATTGTTCTTGATTTCTACCCCAGATTTTCTTGGTTAAATCACCATTTAAAACCATTTAAAACTGGGGGTTGTGGGTCATCCCCATTCTATTTAAATGAGCAGTGTGAAAAAACTCCCTCTGTCATTCCATTTTCCGTTTTCCGCCCGGCTGAGAGTCCACGCACTGGTGAAACAATGCCGTGACAGCGAGGGCAGTCAACGGAAACCCCGGCCTACTGGGCCAAGCTGTTGAAAGGCAGAAACTTTCTTCACCGATGTGATCCCTCGGTCACGGAGGAAGAGATCAATGCCTTCAAAATCGGCTGTATTGGCTGGCACGTAGACACACCGCTGCCAGCATCGAAAAGTGGTGCCCCAAGGGAGACGTGGTTGGATGCTGATGGGCAACTCAAGCAGTTTGGCAAAAGCTTTTGTGGCTGCGATTAGCCATGCTGCAAACCTCGTAAAGTCATAGCCCTCCAGTCTTACAAATTCCTCCCCATCATCCCATGTACGGTTGCTCCTGTTGTAATGCACACCCAACTTGCCAGTGGTACTTTGGTAGTGAATTAAAAGCTGATAACTGCTCAACCACATGGGTACAGTTCTAACCCCCACACTAGCTTGGTTAACCAACTGAACATTGTCTGGGCGCACTCCCCGAATGGGTGCTCAGCTGGCAGTTGTAGTGCCACTGGGAATGGCACAAAACTGAGTGGATGATCTTCAGGTTTATCAACTCTTTCCTGAACTTCTTCCCACTTGCTGTCGTCTTTTTCTCTGATATCTTGCTTATAGCTTAACGCACGTTGTCCCATGACAATGAAAAATTTGTGAACTGCAACACATGCTTCATGACGTTTACTGTATGATGTCTGAGCAGAATGAAGGGCTCGAGCCAAGTGAGCTTGCATACGCTCCAACGCCTCATTGACATGTCTGTCCGCTGCGTGGTTACCTCGGATAACCCAGCAGTCAACAATTCCATCAATCTGCTGAATGTCCACATGAGAAACAACCTTAACAACCTGTTGCAACAAGCCCTGGGAACTGGCAGCTTGGATTGCCCTGTGCAAGGCATTCCACAGGTCATGATTGCTCTGCTTTGGGCCTGGTGCGGTGGCCCCTTTGATGTAGGCATTACTTTTCTCAAAAACATGCTTGTTATCAGTCCACAAATAAATTTTTTTGCCCTGGAGAACTGCGAAACGGATGGCTTCAACGGCTGCTTTGATTTCCGCTCGGAGAGGTGTGTGTAACAGCCCTGGAAGCAGTCCGCTGGCTACTGGTTGAAACTCATCATTTGGCAACATGGCGACGCAAAATGCCCAACCTGCTACCCTAAGCCTAGGATTAGTGGGGTTTTTGCATCCCCCATCAGAGAAAAGGTGCAAAACATCTGGCAACCCTGGTGGTACCTGGTGGGATTGGTCCACTTGCAGCCTGTAAAGTGCTCGCCGCAAGTTTGGGTCGGTCCAATCCTCAACAAACCATGCATGAAAGCGTGTGCATTCTGGCTGTGAGCTACAAAACTGTGTTATGTGCTGGGGAATTGTCTGGCGGATGTCATGGAAAAACTCACATTCCCAAATCCGGTGCTGCAATGAGTCATCCTTCTGGCAAAAAGGACACCGGATGCTTGGTATCTTGCCTGTATGTATCTGCTTATCTCTGGTGTAAAAAGTTCCGTTCAAAATGGACCTCATGATGCCCTGTTCTTCACCAGTGTTAGCTTTGACGCTTCTTGTGAGTTCTCCATCAACCTTTCCCAACCCTGCAAAGTCCTTTCGATCTTGCATGCTATACCCCACCTGGCGTTCCCATGCGTGCAAAAGCCTCTGTTTGAGAAGCTGCTGTGGTGCGTCTAGCAAGTGGATGTGGAATCCCTCATGGTCGCACAAAACTCCATCTCCTATCCATTGCCAGTTGATGTCATGCAGTCTGGCCAATAGCACGGCACAGGGTCCTGGGTCAAAATGCCTGTGTGGCTTGGTCACAATGCCCGTGAGCAATGGGAAAGCTACTGTTGGTACGCAAAAATTGCGAAATGTCAAAACTGTGTCAAGCAACGCAACAAAACCTGGATCACTATTCGGATGCGCTAGGCCAAATTGGATGGTAGAGGATGCTCCCTTTTTGTTCCATTTCAAGCTAGCCATTGCCTGAGCTCGCAACTTCTGGAATTGTTCGTTGGCAAGTGCTACTGCTGCAATGCCGTGCAAACAACGAGGCCATGCCACCGCCTGAATGGCTCGTAACCTCTGCTCTAAAGTTGCACTGCTACGGGCAAGTTGGCCCCAGAAAGCCTGGGTCTTGGCAATACGTGTTCTGATGGTGTGATTCGTGAATCTCCTTGTGTAATTCACTGGAGCTCCAAGATCTTTGGTGTGGAGGATAACTTTGTGGTTATGGTTCCGCAAGCTTTTCCGATCCTCTGCCTGAGTAGCCCAAAAGTGTGTTTTTGGCACATCTAACTGCAGTTGCACAATGTTGGCAAACTCTTCAATGGCTGCGTAGGCCCTCATGATGACTTCTGGTTCGCTGGCAGTGGCCTCCCAATTGTCTACAAATGTGCAAATGCTAGCTGCTGGGCATTGATTGGAAAGGAATGAATGCAGGGCCATATTAACAAGAACCATTGCAACGACTGACAATGGGTCCCCCTCTGGATAACCAGTAGTGCTCCAGACTGCCTCGGAACATGCCCCCTGAACGATGAAATGGCGTTGAACATTGGCCAGGGTGTTGTGCCATGCTCGGACAAATGTCAAGGGCAGGCCATAGTGGATTGCACAGGCATACACTACTGGTCGGGCCAGGTTATTATAGGCTTTGGTAACATCAGTGACTACTCCACAGAGGCTGTCTTTGTCATGGGTCGACTGCTCGATGTGCAATGCCATGTTCCACCAAATGTCAACTGTAGACCTACCAGGGATGTTGCCTTTCAGTCCATCCGGAACAAATCTGGCAAGCCAGCGCAAGCATTGCCTGGCTCTCACTGTGGCCCAGACTCGGTAAGGCATGGTGAGGACTGTTATCGGTCGATAATCCTTGGGTGCTGCTGCTTCTGGTGATTTCGCAACGTTGGCAATGTGTCCAACCAGTGCCGAGCTTTCCCACTCCATATCCCCAACATCAAATTTATTGATAAACCTGAGCAAGGATGCTTGGATGGGCTCTGGCATGTTGAGCAGGTCTGCTCGTGATACCCCATCGGGCCCAGTGGCGGTGGTGGGTTTTTTGGATTGGATCGCGTGCTGCCACTGCTCCATTGTGATTGGGCTCATCGGCATCTCATGAGAAGCTCCTGGAAGGGTGGCAATCTTTTGGGCAAAAACTTCCCACTCTGGTTCACTTCCGTTATGCTTATTCCACATGGGTCCCCACAGTTGTTTGAAGGCAGTGAAAACCTCTTGACAATCCCCAACTACCTTTGCTTGGCAAATGCTATCTCCCACTTCTACGCTGGCTGGTTGTGAGAGTGTCATTATGCCTGGTGTATGGTCTAAAACAAAGAGGGGGCCACTGTCGGTGTTCACCTCTTGTTGACACGCAAGGGTCTGTGGGCTATATCGGATTTCAAGCCCGTCGTGAAGGACCTCTGTGACTTGGGCAGTCTGATGCATCACTACGGTCTGCACTGGGACTGCACGTGGCTTGGAAACATCCCGAAAAACAAGGTTTGGATTGGCAATTCTCCTGGCAGTCGCCATTTGTTTCCTCTGACCGTTGAGCATCTTTTCCAAGGCCTTGAATTCGGCTTGAAAATTGGTTAAGATGGCTTCGGCAACTTCCGCTGCTGGTGGCTTCATAGGCAGCTTGTGTGGAGCTTGCAGGAACTTGGCTGCCCTATGTTCCCATGCTGATGGGAAACCTTTGGGGAATCCTGGTGCTGCTTTGATGGCATTCCAGAGGCTGGCTTTGTGTGCTTCTACGCAAGGGTTACTTTTGGGGGACTTGGCGAGCGCTAGATAGCTCTGGATACGTCTAAGCTGCCTGCACCATTTTGTATGCTGATAGTTTTCTCCCAAGTATTGGATCTGATACTCATTTTTGCGGGATGGCCTAACAGGTGTCACTGGCGATTTGGCCCAAGTGGGATGATTTGCTTTGCCCCTGCCTCGCTGTGGTTGGATGAGGCCTATTTCCCCCTGCTTCTGGAGTGAGGAGTGTGCAAACGCTTCCAGTTGGGCAAAGACTTCCTGGTAAGAATCCGCTGGTGGGAATTCAGTGTCACTTTTTTGGGTAATTTCTTTCCACTGGATTTCCTTTGGTTTTCGCCAAATGGGGACAGGTTTTTGAGGTCCTAGATCCATGAAAACTGCGGAGCAAAGACTGTGTTGTCAACCTTAACTGAAATGAGCAAGTCAATTAATTCAGGGCTGATCCAAACATGATCTTTGACAGATTTGTTCTTGCAAGTCGGTAAAATTTCCTGATGCCATTTGTGAAGAGCTATCTCTTGGATCTCACGAAATCCGTGTTGTCTCCAAATGTCAAACTGTGGCAAATCCTGTGTTGTCTGGTTGAAGTCACCCATTAACACTCTATATCCCCTGGACGCAAAAACGATGCGATCAGTGAGGTTGGAGAGAAGAATATCGCTCTGCTCCTTGGTAGCTTTTGTGTGGGCATCTTTGGCAAAACCATAAAACACCCCTGCTTTGACCCAGTTTTGCTGAAGGTGGATGGCGCAGGCTTGCACCCTTGCTGTCTTCCAATCTTTACTTGGCCATTGCCCTGCCAAAGGTCTGGCCGGGCAATCTGTGAGAATTCCCACTCCAGTGGCTCGCCCACCAATGGTTCCGACTGCATTGCTGAGTGGTGGGGCAACTTCACCTGGGATGAATTTCCATCTGTCTTGTTGCTGATGGAGCTCAACCTGGAACTTTTGCAGCCCTGGTTTCGTAAGATGGGTTTCAGACAGACCCCATATTCGAGGACCATCTTGGCCAGGCATCTCTTGGAAAAGGTGGGCCTTACCTAAGACCCCGGTTGGGTTGGCTGCCCCAATAGTGAAAGGGCCAGGGTTCTGAGCTTCCCCTATACGTGCAAAAATCATCAAAATGATGAACTTCATTAGGGCCACTCCTTTGCAAAATTGGCCAACAGCTCCAAGGGGGAGGCACTTCGGCATCTGCTATCCTTGGAAGGCTGTTTCTTCTGCACACTTCGGATTGTAGAGGCATGATAGCTAGATTGTGCAGGTGTCAGCGTCAACTGCCCAGGTTGGGCAGTCCGCTGTGGGAGTCATTCTGCTCTGCGCTTGCTCAAGAGCCGTTCAATGTTGGTCAATTGTTCTTGCATCCTCTGGTCAATGTGGCTGTGGGTGGCCTGTGTTTGATGCTGGACTGCAGTGATCTGGGAAGAGAGCTCATTGGTGATAAGCGTCTGCTGACGGTGCTGCTCATTCATTGTGGTTTCCATCTGATTCAACCTTTCTTCCAACTGCCCCACCTTGTCCTCGGCGTGCATAGTAGTGTCACCATCAGCCTGGGGTGGTCGAATGCCTTGTGGCCTGCTTTGGATCTTCTGCTGAACTCAGGCAGCAATTGCCTCGATGTCATCACCTCGGAGTTCCTGTCCTACCCCAGTGCGGCTGACTTTGGCAGGTGGCTGATATCCAGACCAGGGATCTTGGATGTCCCATGGGTCGGTCATGATGCCGGGTCTGTTCTCTTTGGTGAGAGCTGCAATTGTGCGGGCTGAACCCTGGATGTCATTTGATCCACTGGCAGTTTTGGCAGTTCTCTTTGGGATTTCTGTGATCAAAATGTCGGCATGGGCCAACTGGTAAACCTCGTACTGCGGTTTAGTGCCTGACTGAATCTCCCAAATGACTCCCTTCCCGTCAGGTGTCCTTGTCTTTGGTTGGGTGGGTCGTGCCTGCCAACCCCACGATGAAAACAATTTGACCAGGGCTGATCTGTTGGATCCATGGGGGAATGGACCAGCATGGAAAGTGAGGATCTCGTCTGTCTCGAGGTATGGTGTCTGAGGCTTGTGCTGTTCATGAACAGTGCGAGCTGCGGCTGTCTTTGTTCGAAGGCCAAACCGGTTCCCTGATCTCACTATGGCTGTCCACTGGGTGGTGGATTGGGAGGCCAAGACGACGGATTGACGGTCTTTCTTGTTGATCCATACGACTCGAAAATCAGCATCTGGGGACCTGCCGTCTTGGCTGCGCGGTTCCAGGTAGTGAGCTACTCTGCCTTGGTGCTGCAACAGGTCCAAAAGGTCACCTTGTTCAATGCGAAAGCATGCGCAGAACATTGCTGCATCTGCCGGTTTGGTCCTTTCAAACTTCTCCGTGAGCCATTGTCGGTCCCACACATCAATTATGGGACTTGATCCATCACCGGCCGGCTGGAGGGCTGCCACATCGTCGACGATGTGTTTGATTGGCTTGGCTGAGAATTTATCCCAACTGATGGCATTCAATTCATCACGATACGTGCAAACTCGGATGACTACTGTACTGACCTCATCAACCTTGGTGACATGAGGTGGTGCATTTCTGGTGACCTCAGTGTTGTCGATCTGAATGATCTTGGCTGACAAGAGGATTGGTTTGGCTGTCTTCTCACAACGAGCTGGAAATCGGATTTCTTCACCAGAACCATGAACAAGTGGGCTGCTATGGTTGATGACGATCAAGGCTAATCCATGTTTGGAGACTGGTTGAGAGAAGCGCAAATAGGGAGCTGCTTGCTCGGCTGTGACAACAACTACACCCTTTGCTTCAGGTCCGATGCTCTGGATTGGGATCTGGGTCAATGTGACATTGTTGGCGTCTCGGAAAATTCCCTCAGGGATGCCTACATCGGAAGCTTCTAGTGCAAGTTCTCTACGTGGCTTTCGGTCTCTGGCAAGCTTCTTCTTTTTGTCCCCAAACGGTTTGCCTTCATCAAGTCTGGCCTGGATGGCGGCTTGCATCTCTGACGGCAGGACAAGTTGGATCTTCGGGCTTGCTAAGTTGGCAAGTTGTTTCACTTCCTTCCATGGGTTTGGTGAGCGTAGTGCTTTACTGATGGGCTGTCTTCCAATTTTCTCGATGACACTATTGGCTCTTGACTGGCTTTGGTCGACTGGTACCCCTCTGTCATGGAGGAGGTCTGCAAGCTGCTTGGTCAGATCTACTGTGGCTGCTCCTCCAAAGGCACATTCGGCTGGCACTACAAGATGCTTGGCTTCTTGTGACAAGTGCAAATGCTGCTCAAAAATGCCTCTCCATGCGATGGCTGTGTGAAGTTCCATAGGGGCAACACGTTGGAAAGGAGTGCCAAATTCACTGTTGAAAACCGCTTCTGTTAACCAGGCAATGGTTTGGAATCCACAGTCATTGTTGAACGCTCCCAAAATTGCCCCTGGGACTGGCATGAGAGAATATTCAATCCCTTGTGCCCGGACTGCAATCTCCATCCATGCGGTTCCACCTGGTGTCGTTTGGATCAAAAGGGATCCTGCTTGGGGAGTGATGGATCGTATTTGTACGTTGATGTCTTGCCGTCTTGCCTTTATAGGGAACCTTTTAACCCCGCGGCAAAAAAGGACCAGCGAAAGAACTCTCGCGGGGAAAAGCCACTCACCTCCAGCTCACATTGGCTTTGCATCGGCCTTTGCCTTTGCGGCTTGTTGCGCCCGCTGCTGCTCCTGACGTGGCATTAAAGAGGCCATGTGGACCTCGATCAAGCAGCGCCTGTCGCTTTTTCTCCGGGGATTGCAAAGGGGTACCAACTGAAGAAAGTCTCGGTCCACCACCAGGACTCTGTCATTCCATTATACGGGTTGCTTTATATATATATTTATTCAAATCCCCAGTATATTGGATAGTAATCCCCAACCAATCATCAACCAACCAGGGTTGTGAGCACAGCTCCACAGCTCAAAAGATCTCCATCAAGGGCACTCATCATCGGACAGTCCTGAATTTGCCAGTCATCCCACTCATAGTCGCAGCGGCCAGCCTCTTACCGGATGAAATCTGTTAAAAAAGGGATTAACGGGTTTAACGGGCGCATTTTTTTACGGTATATCAACTGGGATGGAGATATTTGACTATCAAACACGAGATATCTAATCAACAATCATAGTACATCATAGAAATGACAAGAAATCCCTAGATCCTTGAAATCTAAGGGTACCAGAGAAAGTAAGTCGTACGTTTCGCGGTTCAAAACCACCATCAACGATGATTAAGGTGGGGCCTTTATTATGCCGGATTGATTCTCTTCTCTTCTCTTCTGATTGTTGATTTCAACCATTTCAACCCATCCCAACAAAATATATGCATGTCCTTGGGAACGATCATAATCATACATTTCTACGGTTGAAGAAATACTTAAATCAACCAGTAGCCAACTATATATATAAATATATATATATATATACATATTGATTGTTATTTGTATGTCCATTTCGGAGACCAGCACCAATCCTTTGCCACAGTGCCACAATAAAACAGGGTATCAATGCAATGTGGAAGTTGCCGGCCTCCGTCGCGAACATAATAGCGACATGTCAGCTTCTTTCCAACACGTACTACCATGGGTGAAACAAATTCAGGCGGGTGGTGAAGAAAAAGAAAAGACGACGTGAAAGACAAACAGGGAAAGAACATGTCACAGGAATGAATGACACTGAGGACGAAACAGTTCCAATAAGCCAACTGCGGGTTTCTTGAAATAGGGATACCCCCAAATCATCCATTTCTAGATCGGATTTTCCCTTATAAACCATCCGTTTTGGGTAGCCCCATTTTAGGAACTCCACAACTGATCAACAACAGACTGAATAACAAGGGCTTTGCACAAGGGGGTTGATTCAACCTTCTTTGCACTATCACTGGAGAAGCTGCCATCATGGCTGGTTAAAGAAATGCACTCTCCACACATATGTGCCACAGTCAAAACATGGTAATTAGAATGTACTTCTATATGATTTATGGCCCTCCATCCCATTAATGTATCTACACATTTGCACTTCCCATTAATTATTGTATCCCATGGTTCTATTTATATTCAATTAACTTAAATTCTTAAGTACTAAAATGCTCAGCCATGTTTTGCCACAACTCGTTCTCGCGAACAAACCATCAGCAGGGCGAGTGACTTCCTTGCAATCCGCCCGATTCTTGCACCTCAGAGGTAGAAACTCGTGGATAGATGGGGGGATCAGTCAAGTTAGGTACCATATGACTGGGGGAATAGCCATTAACTAGCCGTTTTAGGGTACCTAGGGTACCAGGGTTTCGACCCATAAGCATGTGGCTTCAAGTCTAAAAATCTACCCCCAAAGCCATAGTTTTACCATCATTTTACCTTGTTTTTTCGTGCCACAACTTGCGGACGTTACCCCGTTTTCAGACACACCCATGTCCTACAAAAAAGTCACTTTGAAACCAGAAAAAGAATACCACTTTGCCAATTTTCCACAGTCAAAGCATGGTATCTGGGTCATGGTCAGTCGACCATTATTGGGGATCCCTTACAATGAGTTTGAATCCCTATGAACATTATGAGCATGGATTGGTGACCATTCCCCAATATGGGCATACAATCCAACTTTTGACGGAATTCGGCGCGAGCGAAGTCGCAGCACCAACGCCCCTTCCCGGTTAAGGGGGGTACGAGGTGTCAGAAAAGAGTGGGTGAGCCATGAAACTGCACAACACGGATCAAGCCGAGCACAACTGCAAGCGGCGAACAAATTGGCAAGCAACTTATTTATTGGCTCAAGACAACCTGTTTGCGTCAGTACCTTCGATGGCAAACTGATCTGAGTTCTTGGCAAGCCATCATGCCAAGCAGACACGGGAATAACGCAAGACCATCCCAAGCACAACATCAAGTCCAAGAGACCTGTCGATCGAAGCAGTTCCACAAATGGGCCAAGGTCATCAAACGGTCCTTCAAAGGACGTGACACGCATGTCTGAGCAAACATCAAGAGTCAGGAGTCCAGAGAAATCAGCCGGGCTAACTCCAGAAACTGACAACACCTTCACTGCGTCAGGACAAGAATCACCACGATCAAGTGCAAAGCCAAGCAAGTCAGTGCAATGAAACGGTCGCTGATCAAACTCAAGTTGAAGAAATGCAATGGCATCACCAATGCACATGTTCCTTTTCCGGGCAATGGCAACTGGACCAAAGGTGCACAGAGCCATCAAGATGCCACCAAAAGTCTTGTGGAAAGCTAGCACGGATTCATGGTCAACATCCAAGGCAAGACAAGTGAAGATGGAAAACTCCAATCCGTGCAAGAACCTTGAGGCATGGCTCCAACCTGAGAAACCACCGCTGAAAGGTTCAATGGCCTGGTGCAAGTCATCGTCACGACATGTGCGGCATTCTGGGGTCGGCATGACACCACCTCCATCAGAGGACACATCCAACAGCTTGGCAAAGACAAATGCCTGAAGACAAATCACGGGTTTGCAACCTTCAACAGCACACGACCGCTGGTCCATGGTGACCTTCAAGCAAGTACCTGTCTGTCACATTGTAAGGGCGCCTTCCACGTGTCAACCTAAGTGATCTAAAGTGGTCCCGAACCAAGCAATGGTGAGGATCCACGCGGCAAGCCAAGACGACACAGGACGTGCTCATCGAAACAACTTGCAAGTCAGCCAAGATGCAAGTCACTCGGTACAGTAATGGCATGGGCACACAACAGGTGACGGACTGGGTACTTCATCATTTGAAAGAATGGTCCAGATGTCAACTCCATGGCTCAATTGGTGGGGTGCCACGCCACCCCTCCCACCTCACTTCGTGGAAGCTTGAGCCTCAAGGCTATCCAACATTTGACCATGGCAAACATATTTGACCCAGAAACAAAGTGGATAATTGGCCATTGAATTCACTGATCATTTACAGGCCAGTATAACCCATCATAATAACCAACCAACCATCTTTTATCACTCGTATCCCCACTGTTTGCTGGTTAAACACTATTTTTGATGGTTAAATCATGTTAAATCCCACCATCAAAAATACGAACCAACTGTTGAATTTCATCAACCAACATATGTCTTGTATACTAATGCACTATACGTATGCCAACGTGAATCATATGTTTTAAACTATCCCACTCTATATCTGAATAAATTATAGAGATTCATCACTGCCATCTGAGGATAGCTGAGATTTATCAAACCATGATCTATGCCGTGACGTCGCGACAGGCGTGATGACATTTATCCTGATAGATCCATAGAAACAGCAATCAAACCATTTACCCTTTGGCAATGAAACATGATCACGGAATATTCACCATCTATAGATTACCCTCTGGTAAACAAACATAGCTATTGAAAATGGCCATTTGTAGTGGATTTTCCCATGAAAAATGGTGATTTTCCATAGTTATGTTAAATTACCAGAGGGTATTTTCCCAAAAGAGCTGGGATTTTCCCAGCCGGCCATGGTTGATGACAGTATCCACAGGGAAACTCCACTCTCTATTATCACTGAATATTCATATTAAGGATGTTTTCGAAAATGACTCCATTATATTCTATCATACAAGTTATACTCTATTGACTCTATTGGGTGTCAGGTGTGTTTCCTATTGCCCAAACTTTCAATTTCGATGGGAATTTCCTGGCCATGCCACTGCAATCGATGGATGGTGCACGCCATGTCCTGTCCAAAGGTCGTTTGGGCCTTGCTTCGCGCAAGCTGCGGAGCTGCTCGGAGGACGAAGCGGGACGAAGCGGGACGAAGTGACGAAGTGGGACAAAAAAAGTTGTTTTTGACCTACAGCAAACCCCCAACACACATCCAAAAAATAGAAAAGAAATAATGTCTCAGCATTCTAGTAGGATATGACTTAAGTCTATCTTTTGAGGCATCACAAATTCACCAAGCTTCATTTACCTCTTGTTGGATACATAGCCATCACCAGGATGGCTATGAATCTGCTGGCACGGCACCAAAACATAGCTATTGAAGCCATGGCCCAGTCGAAATAGTTACGATTTACCCATCAAAAATGGTTATTTTCCATACAATGTGGCCCCCCCCCAGTTATAAGTTGGTTTAGATTCGCCCCAGTTACTAGTTCGTTATAAGTACAGTACCAAAAACCATAGTTATTGGAGTTATGTGCACCAACTTAACTATCGAACGGGGGCCTCACATTGTATGTTTGTTTACCATTTCGGGTATATCATTCGGAGGTTTCAAGACCACCGAATCCAAAAAAACTTTGATGATTTTGAACCCTGGTCATGTAAGGTTGAGGCAATGGTGAGATAACGAAAATATCATCACAATCACATTACATTAGACCGGTTGGTGGTTTCAACCCCTCTGAAAAATATTAGTCAATGGGAAGGATTATCCCATATATTATGGAAAATAAAAAATGTTTGAAACCACCAACTACCAACCAGATTAGATGTAATGTAACTGTAACATCACATAGCATCACATAGCATTGCTAATAGCATTCATTTTTATAAGGATATCCAAAAAACACAGCCTAGATTTCTTCCCTACTTTCTTGAGGTCTTGATCCAGCCTTGGGCAAGGTTCCCATGGTCTATGGTTCCTTTTGTATGGATATTCTTAGATACTCTGCAAACATATTTTTTGGGCGGCAAAAAGACATATATCACTTGTATTCAGATTCAAATATCATATACCATCTGGTTATTTAACATAGCCATGGCAAATCACCATTTTTTATCGGTAAATCATCTATAAATGGGCCATTTTCCATGGCTATGTTAAATAACCAGAGGGTACTTCCATCATTACAAAGAACGTAGACATTTTCTTCTTCACCATGGCTTACTCATCGTTGATGGTGTTGTGAAAAATCCACCCATTTGGCCTAGCAACCGCCAAAAACCAACACAAGGTGAACCAGTTGGTTCTTCCCATTTTTTGGGCCACTCAAACCCAAAATGCCTCGAAAAAATAGCTTTCATCTTATGAAACATGTTCCATATGCTATTCGCATCTATTCACCAATTAAAACATATGGAAAACTGACATGAAAACATGGGATCTTCATGTTTTTTTTTCGTTTCGGCATCGGTTCCGAGGGACCCATCCACATTGCTCCGTGGTGAAAGAGCTGCACTGCAAGAGTTCGTAGTTGGCACTGGTCACCTGAGATAACGAAAAGATCTGGTTGACATATATCATAATATCAATTACATATAGTAATTACTAATTACAATATATTGATTAATGTATAACATATGATATTATATATCAACATAACTGTTTATATATCACTGAGATAAAACTATTTTATATAATAAACATTAATCTGGTTGGTGGTATACCTACGCCTCTGAAAAATGATGGAGTTCGTCAGTTGGAATTATTGTTCCCCCAAAAAACGGAAAAATAAAAATGTTCCAATCAACAGACCAAATAAACATTAATAAACTAGATGATTATGATGTATGAATATATATATATATACATCATCAATCATCCATGTATAGTTATTGACTATATCAACTACAAATGTTATATGATATACATATATATATATATATCATACATATTATAAATAGATGATTGATGATAATATACTACAATATATATATATATACATGTTCAAAAACTGGTCCTGCGGTATGGAATAATAGTGGAATGTAAAATTAGATATTTGACATATATAATATATTGACTATCACTAGTGTGTAGATTTGGACCCCTGCAGGGTGGTGCCCCCGTTCGGAATCGCTAAGTTGGTGTGGCCCCCACGGAAAAAAACATAGGAAAACGACGGGAAAATTGGGATTTCATGGGATTTATGGCTAATTTATGCTAAGTTGGTGCAAATAAGTCCAATTTCAGTATGGTTTTTGTTTGTGATGTATCTATACTTAATGGGATTATAAGCCATTTAGAACTGGGGGGCACCACCTTGTGAGATGAAAAACTGGTCCTGTGGAATATGTGGAATGACAGAGAAACAAACTGCGTAACGACCTGTGGTAGTGGAATGTTGTAAACAGAGAAATAGAATGAATATTGATGAATCAATGAGTTGAAGGATTTGGACTGTGAACTTAGATGTTTGGATATCTATATATATATATATTTAAATGTATGAATTAGTTGAATAATTTGGAGTGGCTACTGGAAAAGGTAATCCAACAAAGCCACAGACAATGGCCCGTTTGTACCTATTAAAAAAATGAACATGATAAATCATGGTGGTTTTTCATAGCGATGTTCGATTACCAGGGATATATGAAGCAAGGTTTAGAACATTGTCTGCGGATGGTTGCCCAGAGAGGGGTGGAACTTGGGGCAGAAGAATTGCCACAATATTCACAAACTTAAGAATGCATCCCAGATCGTAAGGTATTAGTTTGTAGGGGTTTGCCCTTCATGACTTTCAGAAATGCCTACCTGATCTCAGAAATGCCTAGGTGATTTGAAAATGACATAGGCATTTCTGAAATTTAGGTAGGCTAATCTGAAATTTGGTAGACTAATTTGTTGTCCAGAACGTTGTGCAAACAAATGTGGTTTCATATTTTTTTTACAAAATATTTAAAAAAAGACAAAATATGTTCAAAAAGATAAAATCTAAAATATGGTAAAACGTTGATTGAACGTTTACCTGCTCACGATGCTAACACGTTGTGATTACGTTGGCCAGCTCAGTGTGCAGCTGAGTCATTTGTGTCAATTGTATGAACTGATGAGAGAAACTGGGCATGGATTTGACCTGTTTAGCATGGAAATTATGATTGCATGAACCACGTATGGTTCATCCATTTTCCATTTTTATCACCAAAATGCAATCACACCTTAACTTCGAGGCCTTAACTTCGAGCCTCAGGGTTGTCAATTTTGTCCTTGTTTGTTATTTGTTTGTCATGTGCTGTCATTGTTGTCATTTTTGTGATCTTTTGTTGTCTTAAAACAATGAGTATCGATGTTGCTCCCAGAACATAAATGTCCCTTGTCAAAACACATAGATCTTGTTTAATTTAATATAATATTACTTATTAGGTTTGCATTGTCAAGCTTGCCTAAAAGTCAGGTATGCAAAATGTAGCGGTTATTTCCAGTACGAGTGTCGTGTAAAAGTGTCCCAGAAGAGTGTCACAAAATCATAGCGGGAGCGCCGCTCATTTATGGACACAGCCTGCCACTAATTTACGGACATAGCCTGCCACTAATCTATGGACATTACCTTCCAGTAATTTTTGGACATAACCTGCCACTACTTTATGGACACAACCTGCCAAGATTTTATCGACATAACCTGCCACTAATTGATTGGCATAGCAACTAATCTATGGGCATAACCTACCACTAATCTACAGACATAACGCCGACCCCGGATGGATCAGTCAACTCGGGCAGCAGTGTCTTGCGAGAGTGTCCACACCACAAGGTTGTCCCACAGGCTGCCACTAATTTCTGGACATACCCTGCCACTAATTGTACGGACATAACCTGCCATTAATTTATGGACGTAACT